TCCCGATACTCTGCTGATGCCATATGTCACATGTCTTCATCCCGATACTCTGCTGATGCCATATGTCACATGTCTTCATCCCGATACTCTGCTGATGCCTGATGCATATGCCACATGTCTTCATCCCGATACTCTGCTGATGCCATATGTCACATGTCTTCATCCCGATGCTCTGCTGATGTCATATGCCACATGTCTTCATCCCGATGCTCTGCTGATGCCATATGTCACATGTTTTCATCCCGATACTCTTCTGATCCCATGTCACATGTATTCATCCCGACACTCTGCTGGTGCCATATGTCACATGTATTCATCCCGATACTCTTCTGATCCCATGTCACATGTCTTCATCCCGACACTCTGCTGATGCCATGTGCCACATGTCTTCATCCCGATGCTCTGCTGATGCCATATGTCACATGTCTTCATCCCGACACTGTGCTGATGCCATATGCCACATGTCTTCATCCCGATACTCTTCTGATCCCATGTCACATGTATTCATCCCGATGCTCTGCTGATGCCATGTGCCACATGTCTTCATCCCGACACTCTGCTGATGCCATATGTCACATGTCTTCATCCCGATGCTCTGCCCATGCCATATGCCACATGTCTTCATCCCGATGCTCTTCTGATCCCATGTCACATGTCTTCATCCCGACACTCTGCTGATGCCTTATGTCACATGTATTCATTCCGATACTCCCTGCAGCTCATTGCATGTATTCAATGATGCATTTATTTCCCCTCCAAGTAGTAAAGACTTCGTGCCAATTGATTGTGAAACACCAAATTTGTGGAATCGCTTATACAAATTAAGAACCGAGCATTTACTTTTGCAAGTACTTCAGCAGCGGTGTGTTTACGTTGAAGTGCATATATTTCTGGAGAAGTATTTCTAATGACGAATGGAAAGTTGAATTAATTTATTTGCGGTTTACTGCCTTGTAGATGGGTACCATACTTCCGACAAATGCAAGTGGTTCAGTTTCCCATTTACAACCATAACACGGCATTTCCATCAATACTCCTGTTGTAATGGTGTCATGTTGTAAAATAACTGTATTTGAAAACAAAGCTTTCTAAATGCATTTTCCCCGACTTGAAGAAAATCGTTTAACCATCAATTGAGTCAGTCCGTATTGAGGATCTTTATCAAAACATCGCCATTGGAGTGTAATTAAAAAGTTATTATCGATAGATTATGCATCTTTTGTCTTCCGTAAACTTTTCAATTGTGATCGAGTCAAATTCGTACATTTAAAAAAATTAATTTAAACATATTTCGTGAATTTGTAAGGCAGTGAAATGTTTCTACCCAGCCAATAGGCTGCAAAACTTTCAATGATGCATATCACATGCTGCCAGCCACTTTCTTAAGTGTGCCACGTCCCAACAGAAACCGCGTCACACAAACCGCGTATATACAGTCGACAAGGTGTAAAACGTAAAAACTGGTTTCAGTACCAACTGTACCTGTCTGTCAGAATGGTAAATATAGATGCTGTAAATGATTTTGAACACATTTTGTGTTGAAGCAAAAAGATGCAACAATGACAAAATCTTAAAAAGCAATAACATCTTAAATAAAACCACTGACGTTTAACATGCGTTATTGCCCTAGAATAGATTGACGTACTTACGTTAGGGGCCTTGTTTCCCACACACCCTCCATGTAAGAAGATGAGCAGAAAGAATGCAGCTAAACTAGTCATGTCAGTTGTTATCCGCTATGACATATGTATGTCTGTAATAAAGTCTTCTAATCTCGTTCCGCGTGCAGCACACGTCTCTCCTGATCCCTACGCGCAAGGCACTATTTCCTTCCTCGGACGAACAGAGTCAAGCTGTGATTGGCCAAACGACGTTAAGTGGGGTCGCTGTTACGATATTGCTTCAAGATTTTGGAAAATAAAGTAAACGTGAGAAATGCACACGTGTGCCAGCCCGCTTCAGACAATGCAGATGCATGAACCGACAGTGTAAACGGTCCCATGCGTCTTCCGCTGTTAATGTTTCAGACCTGGTTCATAATGAAATGAAAATATAACATTACAAAACTTCTTCCGTATGGTGCCGAAGTTGACATTTTCTTACAGCGGAACATTGGAAACTAAATGGACATTATTTAAACCTTTTAGAATTGCTCTTTTATTACCAAAACAGGAAAGTGCAAAAAACAATCGACATTTTTCGACCGTCCGTTCTTAAAGGTTAATAAGATTTTCAAATTGCATATCGAAACTCCAGGAAATATGATGAGAATATAACATATGTTCGAACTACGCACATACGTACAAAAAGCCAATACTGGAGAATAATGTGTCAATTATCAGCCGATTCAAGCTGACAAAAGGCAAAACAGGAATGAATCACCGAAAATCAGTGATGACACCAGGTGTTCGTAGAAAGGTATCATGTTGAAACGAAAGTCGGTTTGAAAGTGGATATATTCGGGGCCATGTTAAGGCTGAGCATGAACAACAATCGAAAACAAACGCCGCTATTGAAAACTATCATCGTGGATTTCGGAATCAACGGGCCTTACTGGCGCCAGGAAATATATTTTCTTTATATATATAAAATATAATATAGATATGACACTACCGCGCTGAAGTGACGAATATTTGTAGTTTTCATGACCACCAGAAACTTAAATTTGACAGTTTGGTGCTGACTGAACTGGGATAAAATTTGGACAAAACTGATGTGCAAACACTTGGATATTTGTATTATGAGTAAGTTCAAGAGATGAGTTGATTGGAGGCAGCCTAATCGTAGCAACACCCGTCATAGCGTTTACCAGTCTGGTGGAGCGTAAACCCAAATGATATGATGTTGAGAAACACATCATCACCCGTAGGCTCCAGAGAGGATGTACAGCTGTACAAGATAGCTGTATTTAGAAACAGACAGGAGGACGACGGATATGTCTTTGTCCTGCATCTTAAAAAATGATATCAATATCAAATACAAAACAAACAAACTGCGAATATTTTGTCTCGATTATAAATTGAACAATTTCCACTTGAAAAAGCGAAAAGACGGTGGCAATGATATGAACAGATCACTGATGACACCGGAGTATGCCCTGTTCTGTGTCAAGACACACCACCGTCACTTGGCATAAAGTATTTACGAAATAACAAGTAAGTATAATATATATAAATACTAACCAAGAAAATATAAAACATAAATGACACACATTTTCTATATCTTATTGAACTAATAAAGACGCCCATGCGTCTGTATCTTTTCTCAGATCCTTATTCCACAAAGCAAATAACAGAGTAGTGTGCGTTTTGTGTCACACATGTATAATGCCTGCTACGTCAGATATCTGCGATGTTGTTTCTGTTGCACATGGCAGAGACGACACATGGTGCATTTGTAAACAGGATGTTTAATCTCTTGGAACATAAATTAATTTGTAACTCTAATGTGTATGTATGTATGTATATGCACTGGCATAAGGCAACAACGTGTCCAAAAAGCGCTCCCACACTGCGATACACGACACGAGCTTTGATGTAGTTCCCGCTTAGAACAATAAGGAACGTAGCCAGCTCAAAACAACACACATGTGTGTGTGTGTGTGTGTGGACGCCACCGAGTGTCATCGTGCCAGGCTGTAATACAAGTCCAGAGTCCACTTCAGGTTAACGACAAACAGATTTCTAGGATTTCAATTTTGCGAAACCAGACATCTTAAGTGTTTTTTGTCGTGAAAAGTGTCTAAGACTAACATCATGTTAGAGACAGAATGAATCTGTAAAATATCGCCTATAACACAATATGATATATTTTCCTCTCTAACATTTAAATATGACGGCAAGAAAATATTGATAGAGAAGAACCTTCATGCGGGTTGGTAATGACATATTTTATTCAAGGAGAAACTGGCAGTCACAAGCTTCAAATACGTCAAAATATGTACCAGATGCTAAGATGGTTGTATTATTTTAAAGTCATTAAATTATACGTATATTTGTGTTTCATCATTGTTTTACACAATTTAGTACATCACGATGACAATTGCCCAGAGCAATGCTGTTCGTGAAGACATCACGTTGAACTGCGGGGATGTTGTTTATCCTAACCTGAACGGCTGGCACGTTCTGATGTTGTAGCCCATACACTCGAGGCCCGTGCAGCAACGTCCGCTCTGACCACATGCTTGGTTGGCGGACAAACACTGCAAACAAGAGACAACAAGACGTGGAACAGGACTGACTGACTGAATTTAGTTTTACGCCGCTTTTAGCAATATTCCAGCAATATCACGGCGGGGGACACCAGAAATGGGCTTCGTGGAAAAGGAAGATATTGTCCTGTCCCAGTACACGTTGACAAACTACAAAGTATTCTCAGTGTAAACGTCCCATAGCGGTCGGTCACAGTCGACTAAACTGGTAGGTTGGTGAGTTAGTGTGTCAACGCACTGTGAGTTAGTGTGTCAACGCACACCGACTGCAATTGTGGGTCATGCAATCGACCTCTGGGTTCCTAGCCCAGACTGTTAGTCACTCTGCCAAGGCTGAGCGTTTCTAGGCACTACTTTCACTTTGAGGTTGTGTGAAATCTTTACTCTGTGTTTTGGTATTTCTGCCACTGATCCTGTGATTTCGGTAAAACGATCTGTTAACCAAGCAAGTGAAAACAATGCCTGACAAAATTTATGGATAACAATTTCGTGAGTGGACGTTTCGATAATGATTCTGTACAGGAAAAGAAGTTGTTATCTGTAAAGTTATTGTTGTTATCAATATTTTACTTCCCAACTTCTTGTCTCCCCAATTGTCTGACGTGTACTGTTAAGAAACTACCTTCTGTATCATCTAAACGTGCTGCACGTCTCATATATATTTATACGGCTTAACATTTGTAATCTGTTCGATGGTCTGCGATGTTTGGGTGGAGTAATAACTAGTAAATAAGAATCCATCACACAGACCAAGATTTTAAATATTAGTTTCAAATATTGATGCACTTACATTTCTGTTTCCGTTGTTCATTCCATTTCCAGGTCCACCGATTCCGTTATTCATTCCAGGTAAACCACCTCCAACGCCGTTGATGCCGTTATTCATTCCAGGTAGGCCACCTCCAACGCCGTTGATGCCGTTATTCATTCCAGGTAGGCCACCTCCAAGGGCGTTTCCAACTCCACCGTTATTCATCCCAGGTAAACCACCTCCAACGTTGATGCCGTTGCCGTTATTGACACCGAATGCACTTGTCGAGACCACCAGGGCACCGAGAGCAAGAAGGATGACAGGCGACATTCTGAAACCTTATACCCATCCACATCATTATGACAAATGTTGTATTTTGAGTGAGCGAATTTACGGCCGCTTTCAACAGTATTTGGGTTACAGAACGTGTCAGGTAATGTGAGATAAAAGCGATGATCTGAAATGTTTAAACACAGATGAACAAACCTGGAAACATAACTGGGAGGAACTGGAATTCGAAACCTCTTAGGCTTCTGGTGAAGACAAGGGACGCAACTCTGCACATCGAAAGCAGAGCCATTCGTGACTCAAAATATTGTATGAACGAATATTGATACTAAAATTTCGATGTATGATATGAAAACTAGCTGGTGTACATTAGCGACGACGTCTTTCTGAAGATGCAGTGAACCGTCAACAGATCGGAGTTTCGGGGAAACCTTTCGGTAGTTTTCAGAACACTGTTTTCAGAACACTGTCGGCAGCAAAGGGTCCCAGAGCTAAGATTCGTTTATCCCAATATTTGAACGTTTCCCTTGAAATGATGGAGTGAGTATTAACGGGGTTTTACGTTTTTCACATGTGGGTATTTTTACCATATGTATTAAGGACAGGTGATCATCCCCTCCAGGATTCTATTCAACATCTGGGACCTCATGATTAAAGTGTAGAGTACTATGTTTGTAGTTTTGTCTTTATCAAAATAATATTCTATGGCATTTCTAGCTACATTGCACCCACCCTACGACGCTAGAATTTATACAAACTTTAAACTATATTTGAATCATGTCGATATGTAAGACAACGTTTAGTTTGCGCATTAAACTAAAGGACATTACATTCCTGTCAGTGAACCAAAAGGATGTTCATGTATCTATACTTACGTACTTTGTATATATCTGCAGCACGGCGAGACAATGATTGAAGGCATGGCCACGGGTATTTATAGGGTTCAGAGAAGAACGTCGTGCAACAGCCGTTCTATCTGACCACGAGTAAATGACAGAATAGTGTTATCATGTCATCATCTTGTCAGGTCATGGAGCGATCTTTAAGGATAGTACTGACGGGTACACTGAATCTCGCAATCAGCACGCACGTTTGACACCTAAGTTAATTAGCATAGATACTATCTGACGACTCTTTGTGGAATTTAAATGCTCATCGACACACACACACACACACACACACACAAACATATAGATATATATACATATATCCTGGCTTTGAGGCCAAAAACATTATGAAGTTTTATTACAGAAAACTTTTGTCGAGGTGCAACATTTGCGTAAATTTGATTCGAAAATACGTTATAAATACATTTGTTAAAACAAATGTTTATATATATCCTTTTTTCAAAGGTTAATTTTCTTTGTGTTGGTTTCGTATGATACTCAGCAGCAACTTGTTTGATTCTTATACATGGGCATCTTAGTATCACATGGACTTCGTCTTCTTTGTGAATCATTTAGCTGTCTTCGCATTTCTATATGCTCATTCTCCGTAGTGTACATCACCGAGTATATCTTTGCCGAGTAACGAATAAACAAGTAAATTTCGGTTTACTATGTCATATGTGTAACAAGATCGTCACATTTTCCATTTTAATTATAGTGGTTATATTCACGTGTTAGTGGCACAAGTAGATGGACTGTCGTCATTGCTTCGTATTCTACGAGCCTCCGGTGGGAAAGTAGAAAACCAAATGGTTATCGCGTTTTCACTTTGAGGCGATGCTATGGAGGGGTTCAGATGAAGTGTGGAAAGACAAAGTACAAAAATAGATCAAACGCTCACAGGAATCACTGACCACCACAACATTGTCTGGACACTGCTGAACACGTCCTAATAAAAACAAACATGTTCGTCTTGTGTGACGTGATATCACGTATTACGTGTGATATCACAGGTGATATTTAGGTAAGTTATATAGGTGTTATATCAAGTGTTATATAGGTGAGATGTTATATGTTTTATAGGTGTGATATGTTGTATGTAGGAGTGATACCTACATACTTACCACGTAGGCGTGATACTATGTGTTATGTAGGTGTGTTATCGCTATATATGTGGGTGTGATATCGCTTGTTATGTAGGTGTTATATCATGTGTTATATAGGTGTGATATTATACAATATACAATTATAGACTCTTGCAGAGGTCGATATCGTTTTTTATTTACCTGAGTAAAACAATATCGACCGAGCTTGCGAGGTCGATATTGTTTTTCTCAGGTCAATAAAAACCGATATCGACCTCTACAAGAGTCTATAATTGTTTTATTATATAATGAAAGAGAAACGGGTTTTAACATAAACTTTTAATGCACACACTGTGCCATCTATCCGAGTGATCTGATTGGTTGAAAAGCGGGGGAAGCCCCTTCGTACGGGATTCCTTGTCTATTTTTTAGTAACCCAAGTCAATATCGTAATTTATCAGAAAACTCAAGTCAATATCGTGTTTTGTAGTCAATCATGTGCCGGTCTTTTGACCAATCGTGGTACAGGAACAATGCTACCTATATAATAATATGTGTTATATAGGTGGGATATTATGTGTTATGTAGGTGTGATATCATGTGTTAAGTAGGAGCGACATCATGTGTAATATAGGTGTGATAGTATGTGTTATATATGTGGGATATTATGTGTTATGTAGAGGTGATATCATGTGTTATATAGGTGTGATATCATTGTTATATAAGTGTTATATCTTGTGTTATATAGGCGTGATATCATGTGTGATGTAGGTGTGATATCTTGAGTTATGTAGGTGTGATATCTTGTGTTAAATAAGTGTGATATCTTGTGTTATATAGGTGTGATATCATGTGTTATGTAGGTGTGATACCACGTGTTATGTAGGTGTGATATCTTGTGTTAAATAGGTGTGATATCTTGTGTTATAGGTGTGATATCTTGTGTTATGTAGGTGTGATATCATGTGTTATGTAGGTGTGATATCATGTGTTATGTAGGTGTGATATCATGTGTTATGTAGGTGTGATATCATGTGTTATATGTAGGTGTGATATCATGTGTTATGTAGGTGTGATATCTTGTGTTAAATAGGTGTGATATCTTGTGTTATAGGTGTGATATCATGTGTGATGTAGGTGTGATATCATGTGTTATGTAGGTGTGATATCATGTGTTATGTAGGTGTGATTTCATGTGTTATGTAGGTGTGACACCAGCAATGCTGTGACAGGACATCCTTGCGTCTTGCATGTCAAATACTTGCCATCAGGTATTTTCTGAACGTCTTTGTCTTGCCATGTCAAGAAAATCTACTTTTCAGTTCTGCCGGGGTTTTTAAAAATTATTTCAGAAAATTGTTGTGCACTTTGGGACCATCGCATCGTGTGAACATGTGACCCATTGGAAGGGAGCAGTTTGAAACCTATACACAGAACAAATCCCAATAACAATATGTGTTTTTTACGTGTTGTTTTAACTTTGATTGACAACTCACAATAAAAGTATGTATTTAGTGGATTTGGCCGATTGTATTTAAGATGAATTCCAGGTCTGAATGTACATATCTTTTAATTTTTGTGTTACAGCATTATAAAATTATTTGGCCACGTGAACCTTTTGGTCGTTCGGGCGTGACACAACAAACATTCAAAACCATACAAACAAGTCTCCTGGAAGACATGCAGTAATGTCTGTCTTGTCCTCTGTCTACTGGAAGACATGCAGTAATGTCTGTCTTGTCCTCTGTCAACTGGAAGACATGCAGTAATGTCTGTCTTGTCCTCTGTCAACTGGAAGACATGCAGTAATGTCTGTCTTGTCCTCTGTCAACTGGAAGACATGCAGTAATGTCTGTCTTGTCCTCTGTCAACTGGAAGACATGCAGTAATGTCTGTCTTGTCCTCTGTCAACTGGAAGACATGCAGTAATGTCTGTCTTGTCCTCTGTCTCCTGGAAGACATGCAGTAATGTCTGTCTTGTCCTCTGTCTCCTGGAAGACATGCAGTAATGTCTGTCTTGTCCTCTGTCAACTGGAAGACATGCAGTAATGTCTGTCTTGTCCTCTGTCAACTGGAAGACATGCAGTAATGTCTGTCTTGTCCTCTGTCAACTGGAAGACATGCAGTAATGTCTGTCTTGTCCTCTGTCAACTGGAAGACATGCAGTAATGTCTGTCTTGTCCTCTGTCAACTGGAAGACATGCAGTAATGTCTGTCTTGTCCTCTGTCAACTGGAAGACATGCAGTAATGTCTGTCTTGTCCTCTGTCAACTGGAAGACATGCAGTAATGTCTGTCTTGTCCTCTGTCAACTGGAAGACATGCAGTAATGTCTGTCTTGTCCTCTGTCAACTGGAAGACATGCAGTAATGTCTGTCTTGTCCTCTGTCAACTGGAAGACATGCAGTAATGTCTGTCTTGTCCTCTGTCAACTGGAAGACATGCAGTAATGTCTGTCTTGTCCTCTGTCAACTGGAAGACATGCAGTAATGTCTGTCTTGTCCTCTGTCAACTGGAAGACATGCAGTAATGTTCTGTCTTGTCCTCTGTCAACTGGAAGACATGCAGTAATGTCTGTCTTGTCCTCTGTCAACTGGAAGACATGCAGTAATGTCTGTCTTGTCCTCTGTCAACTGGAAGACATGCAGTAATGTCTGTCTTGTCCTCTGTCAACTGGAAGACATGCAGTAATGTCTGTCTTGTCCTCTCTGTCAACTGGAAGACATGCAGTAATGTCTGTCTTGTCCTCTGTCAACTGGAAGACATGCAGTAATGTCTGTCTTGTCCTCTGTCAACTGGAAGACATGCAGTAATGTCTGTCTTGTCCTCTGTCAACTGGAAGACATGCAGTAATGTCTGTCTTGTCCTCTGTCAACTGGAAGACATGCAGTAATGTCTGTCTTGTCCTCTGTCAACTGGAAGACATGCAGTAATGTCTGTCTTGTCCTCTGTCTAACTGGAAGACATGCAGTAATGTCTGTCTTGTCCTCTGTCTCCTGGAAGACATGCAGTAATGTCTGTCTTGTCCTCTGTCAACTGGAAGACATGCAGTAATGTCTGTCTTGTCCTCTGTCAACTGGAAGACATGCAGTAATGTCTGTCTTGTCCTCTGTCAACTGGAAGACATGCAGTAATGTCTGTCTTGTCCTCTGTCAACAGGAAGACATGCAGTAATGTCTCGTCTTGTCCCTCAGTCAACTGGACATGCAGTAATCTTGTCTTGTCCTCTGTCAACTGGAAGACATGCAGTAATGTCTGTCTTGTCCTCTGTCAACTGGAAGACATGCAGTAATGTCTGTCTTGTCCTCTGTCAACTGGAAGACATGCAGTAATGTCTGTCTTGTCCTCTGTCAACAGGAAGACATGCAGTAATGTCTGTCTTGTCCTCTGTCAACAGGAAGACATGCAGTAATGTCTGTCTTGTCCTCTGTCAACTGGAAGACATGCAGTAATGTCTGTCTTGTCCTCTGTCAACAAGACATGCAGTAATGTCTGTCTTGTCCTCTGTCAACTGGAAGACATGCAGTAATGTCTGTCTTGTCCTCTGTCTCCTGGAAGACATGCAGTAATGTCTGTCTTGTCCTCTGTCAACTGGAAGACATGCAGTAATGTCTGTCTTGTCCTCTGTCAACTGGAAGACATGCAGTAATGTCTGTCTTGTCCTCTGTCAACTGGAAGACATGCAGTAATGTCTGTCTTGTCCTCTGTCAACTGGAAGACATGCAGTAATGTCTGTCTTGTCCTCTGTCAACAGGAAGACATGCAGTAATGTCTATCTTGTCCTCTGTCAACTGGAAGACATGCAGTAATGTCTGTCTTGTCCTTGGTCAACAGGAAGACATGCAGTAATGTCTGTCTTGTCCTTGGTCAACAGGAAGACATGCAGTAATGTCTGTCTTGTCCTCTGTCTCCTGGAAGACATGCAGTAATGTCTGTCTTGTCCTCTGTCAACTGGAAGACATGCAGTAATGTCTGTCTTGTCCTCTGTCAACTGGAAGACATGCAGTAATGTCTGTCTTGTCCTCTGTCAACTGGAAGACATGCAGTAATGTCTGTCTTGTCCTCTGTCAACTGGAAGACATGCAGTAATGTCTGTCTTGTCCTCTGTCTCCTGGAAGACATGCAGTAATGTCTGTCTTGTCCTCTGTCTCCTGGAAGACATGCAGTAATGTCTGTCTTGTCCTCTGTCTCCTGGAAGACATGCAGTAATGTCTGTCTTGTCCTCTGTCAACTGGGATCAATGCTTGTCGCATGATGCGGCCAAAAGTATCGGGTGGTGAGCCATGGTGACTTAGCTTATTGCCTCTGACGGACAGTGGAATAGTCACTCACAATATCAACCATCGGGTTTCTGCGTTACTTGCATTCCGCTGGTTGTACATTGCAAAACAATTTATTAAGAAGTCCCGTCGCCAGACAGTATGTTTGTCTGTTGTTTGTTTTTGGTTGGTGTAAGACTTTATTCATGTATAAGGACCTACTCAGAACCCGACTATGACCGTAGATTAATGCATTATGATCAACGATAATTAATTTAATGAAAACAGTCGCTCTTGTGCTCTCGTGTATATAAAACAAGGGAGGTCCGGGTTAGAATCTATTCATGCATGTCATCGTAGGCATGTGGTTCATGATGTCTGTCACTGGTTTACATATCAAGGCTAGATTATTTACAGCTGGAAAAATGCTGTGTTCGGGTGTGAACAACGAACAAATAAAGAACTTTATAAAGTGATTCCAATTTATTACTGTTTATGAAATCCCATGTGCCCCAGCTATAACGGAACGCAATCATGGTGATCCTGTATGTCGCTTGTAGAAAATTGTTCAACGTTTCTCGGGATGGCCGGTGCCTGGTGACGACACCACATTTTCCATCGTTCATTCTTGCTTTACTTCCTTATCAGCGCACAGAAATCCTCTTTGACTAACTGCAGTGTATGCATGTATAGTCTTTGGTTTCAGTGTTACAATGCATAGCTAAAGTGCCCTCGAGTGCAAGAAAACATAACTAATTGAATATTTCCAGTATATAACTAAACATAAACTAAGCTGCAAAAGAAAGTATAGGTCGGAAAAAGTCAATTTACTGTGAAAGTGTTGATAGCTGGTTGAAAGTATGCATTCAGACAGTTGTCCCCAAGCACAAGAATGCAAAATCGCATCTCCCAAACACATCATGACCGGTGGTGCCACGCTGCACCAGAAAAATGGTAAAACACGTGCAAAGGCTGCAGAGGGAGATGCACGTGCCGAATTGGCGTATAAATAAGGTGAAACCATGGGTTGACAACACAGTTGACAAAAGCACACAATCGATATGCCTAGACTGACAAGAGAGGAGCGAGAGAGGGCGATTGGTATGCACCAGATGGGGGCAACACAGGTACAGATTGCACGAAGGTACGGGTGCACGCCTTTAACGGTATCCAGGCTGCTGCAACGTTACCGACAGACAGGAATGACTGTAGACAGACCCAGAACGGGCAGACCACGTGTCACAACACCCCAGGAAGATCGCCGAATTCGAACAATTCACTTACGCAACAGGTTCGTCACGGCTACGGTGACGGCTGCAACAGCGCTGGGACATCGCATCAGCCAACGCACAGTACTCCGACGACTTCGTGCTGCAGGAATCAGAGCCTACCGTCCCTTCCGAGGAATGTTCCTGACAGCACAACATCGACGCCGAAGGGTACAATGGGCGAGGCAAGTTCGAATCTCGCAAGTGCGAGAATGGCGCCGAGTACTGTTTTCTGACGAGAGTCGTTTCCAGTTGTTCCAGAACGACGGCAGACAACGAGTTTATCGCCGAAGAGGTGAACGTTTAGCTCCACCATGCATCCGAGAGGTCCATCCGTTCGGAGGGGGAGGTGTTATGGTCTGGGGAGGCATCTGTGGGGAACAGAAGACTGACCTGGTCATTGTGCAAGGGAACCTGAATGCTGTTCAGTACAGAGAGCAAGTTCTGCGCCCAGTTGTGCTTCCATTCTTGCGGAACCAGCCACAGGGGATAGTGTTTCAACATGACAATGCCAGACCCCACACAGCAAGATTGACACAGGACTTCCTCAACCGCCACAATGTTGATGTTCTCCCTTGGCCTGCCTGTTCACCCGACATGAACCCCATAGAGCATCTGTGGGACCATCCGGGCAGACGGTTAAGGAATCGTCAACAACCCCGAGTGACGAGAGATGAGATGGAACGTGCCCTGAGAGAAGAGTGGCAGAGAATCCCACCACCCGTCATCAGACGCCTGACGTAGTCAATGAGACGACGCGTCATGGCATGCATTGATGCACGTTGGGGTCATACACGGTATTGAGACATGTTCTGTTTGTTGTGTAAACTTGGACAATGATTGACAATCATGTGTTGCTCTTAAGACATCGCTGAAAAATGAGTTGTTGGACCCCACCATTGTTCAACTAGCGCCCACATGTTATGTGTTGCCTGTATTCCAATCATTTTGTGGCCTAATAATGATCATTAACCCTTCTTTCACGATATACACACGCTTCGCCAATTTGATTTGTTGTGTTTTGTTTACCACTCATCAAACTCCACCTATACTTTCTTTTGCCGTTTAGTGTTATATATATATATTGTGCACATCACTGATTTAGATGGATGTGTATGAAACAGTACTCATAGGAGGTAGTAATCATCATTGGTAGTAATCATCATAGGGAGTACTCATGATAGGGAGTAATCATGATAGGGAGTACTCATGATAGGGAGTACTCATGATAGGGAGTAATCATGATAGGGAGTAATCATGATAGGAGTACTCATCATAGGGAGTACTCATGATAGGGAGTAATCATGATAGGGAGTAATCATGATAGGGAGTAATCATGATAGGAGTACTCATCATAGGGAGTACTCATGATAGGGAGTAATCATCATAGGTAGTACTCATCATAGGGAGTAATCATGATAGGGAGTAATCATGATAGGGAGTAATCATCATAGGAGTAATCATCATAGGTAGTACTCATGATAGGGAGTAATCATGATAGGGAGTAATCATCATAGGGAGTAGTATCATCATCATAGGTAGTAGTACTAATCATGATAGGGAGTAATCATCATGATAGGGAGTAATCATCATAGGAGTACTCATCATAGGGAGTACTCATGATAGGGAGTAATCATCATAGGGAGTACTCATCATAGGGAGTAATCATCATAGGGAGTAATCATCATAGGGAGTACTCATCATAGGAGTACTCATGATAGGGAGTAATCATCATAGGGAGTAATCATCATAGGGAGTAATCATCATAGGGAGTAATCATGATAGGGAGTACTCATCATAGGGAGTAATCATGATAGGGAGTACTCATGATAGGGAGTAATCATCATAGGGAGTAATCATCATAGGGAGTAATCATAGGAAATCATAGGAGTAGTACTCATCATAGGGAGTAATCATGATAGGGCATACTGATGATAGGAGTAATCTCATCATAGGGAGTACTCATCATAGGGAGTACTCATCATAGGGAGTAATCATCATAGGGAGTACTCATCATAGGGAGTAATCATAAGGAGTAGGGAGGATAATCATGATTGATACAACAAAGAATCCAGAACCAAAGAGGCGATAGGTAGTAGGTGGTATTTGGTAATCGAATTGATGAAGTATGCTTGTTGAAGCAGCAGTTATAAAGAGTTCACACGTATTGCCATAACTGAGTATCTATATACTACACATCAGACACAGTATGTGAATCAGCGTGGAGTAATTGAAAAAGAAGCATACACTATCATGTGGTTAATTATTGAGTGAGCGTCCACTGTGAGCATATCAGTCAAACATGTGTTTGACCAGCACCCGCTCAGGACAGCGTTGTCTGGTACATGTCGTCAACGATGTAGTACTTAGGAGGGGCATCAAAGAGTCGCTTCGCCCTCTCTCTTAGAACCCAGCAGGAGACGGTTTCGTTGAACACGGGGTCGTGTCTGTGTTTGATGCGGGCCAGTCCATGGCGTCTTTCTAGACCCGTGACACTACGGAGGTGCCCCACCAGGTGTCCATTCCTGTATGTGATAGTCTGAAGCCGGATTTTCTTGTGGATGAATTGCCCTGTGTAGAAAATAAACATTTAGTATGTTGCCATCTTGACTTGCGATGGTTGCAAACATTGAAACGACACTTGCAAAGTGGTTGTGTTATTAGGGTTACAGGATTGAATCAGATATATAATAAGTGGATATGCGCAGCACGTTCTCAACATTGACAAATGAGTTGTCTTTGCATGACCTCTAGATGAAGAACACCTCACCCTGATAACACCGGGGATCATCACTATTTGATGTTCATAAACACTTTGTTAAAGTGACATAAGTTGGACAATTGTTAACATTAGTAGAACGGTAGATAAATCATATATACGATAGTAACTAATCCTTCATTTTGGTGGGTCACAAGTGATGGTTGGTTCCCGGAGATGTTTCATTCATGGACTTCCCATTAACGCCAAACTAAATCATAACGCAGTCGCTTTATTTGACAACTGTTCGTGTTGTCTAAGCGGCCCAGACCTCGTTTTATTTCATTAAACTAGCAAAGCACAATTGTGACTCACCAATGATGCCGTCTGACTCTTCAGAGAGAAGTTGTTCGTTCCCAAGCTCGATGTTAAGGAAGTCTCCCCCTAAAGTGTTTGAGGCCGAGTGTAAATGTTTCACAATGTCGATCTGCAACCCACTGTCAAAAACCACAGATAGTTTGGTGATGCCCCCTGTGACTTGCTTTATAAAGAGCCGAGCCCAAGGGACAGTTATGTTAAAGTCATTGTCCCAGGAATAGCTGTCCTCGTGCAGGGTGATGTTGCTACGGGTTACCAGAAGGTGAAGGTCATGGAGCATGATGGCAATCTCCACCATGTACGTTCGGAAACCGCCTTCTCGGGTGTGCTTTTTACCTTCGCCTACTCGTCCATTCACAGTTAAGTCTGAAAAAACCGAGATGATTGTCCGGGTTATGGGGTCATAAACCAAGGTCTAATTGGTCCAAGGCTCACAAAGGATCCACGACACCATTAGCAACAATACAAACACCATGGACACTTCGGACAACAGAAAAAGAATGCTGTTAGAAAGTAACATGTTTCGTTAAATTGATTTCAGCAGATCATTCCATGTTTATAAAATCAAGTTTAATTCTTTGGAATAATCAACGTCCGCGAGATCATGCACAGTCACTTATCTATCGAAATAGACGGTCTAAAAGGTGGTGAATAGTTCAGTGAAACAGGTGCTCGTGAAAGTGGTGATCACGCCCGTCCCTACACGTACCTGTCTGTGGGTCATGTATCAGTTGGTAGATCTCCCTGTCCTTCCCCAGCACGTCAAAACAGATAGGGTACTTGAGACCTTCCATGAACAGCATGAAGTGAGGATCATAGCCACCTGGTGGGAAAACGCAATAATCATCAAGCAAACAAACCACAGGCTTGGTGGAAAAGGGAAATAATCATCAAGCAAACATACCACAAGCTTGGTGGAAAAGGGAAATAATCATCAAGCAAACATACCACAAGCTTGGTGGTAAAGGGAAATAATCATCAAGCAAACACACCACAAGCTTGGTGGAAAAGGGAAATAATCATCAAGCAAACAAACCACAGGCTTGGTGGAAAAGGGAAATAATCATCAAGCAAACATACCACAAGCTTGGTGGTAAAGGGAAATAATCATCAAAACAAACACACCACAAGGAAAGGGAAATAATCATCAAGCAAAAGGGTGGAAAAGGAAATAATCATCAAGCAAACAAAGGGACCACAAGCTTGGTGGTAAAGGGAAATCAATCATCAAGCAAAAGGGATACCACACAGGCTTGGTGGTAAAAGGGGATGATCATCAAGCAAACACACCACAAGCTTGGTGGTAAACACACAAACATACACAAGCTTGGTGGGGCGATAAATCAAGGAAATAATCATCAAGCAAACATACCACAAGCTTGGTGGTAAAGGGAAATAATCATCAAGCAAACATACCACAAGCTTGGTGGTAAAGGGAAATAATCATCAAGCAAACATACCACAAGCTTGGTGGTAAAGGGAGATAATCATCAAGCAAACATACCACAAGCTTGGTGGTAAAGGGAAATAATCATCAAGCAAACATACCAAGCAAGCTTACCACAAGCTGGTGGTAAAGGGGGATGATCATCAAGCAAACACACCACAAGCTTGGTGGTAAAGGGAGATAATCATCAAGCAAACATACCACAAGCTTGGTGGTAAAGGGAAATAATCATCAAGCAAACATACCACAGGCTTGGTGGTAAAGGGCTTGGTGGATAATCATCAAGCAAACATACCACAAGCTTGGTGGTAAAGGGAATAATCATCAAAACATACCACAGGCTTGGTGGTAAAGGAGATAATCATCAAGCAAACAGCTTTGGTGGTAAAGGGGAGATAATCATCAAGCAAACATACCACAAGCTTGGTGGTAACATCAAGCAAACACACCACAAGCTTAGGGTAAAGGAGATAATCATCAAACAAACATACCACAGGCTTGGGTGGTAATCATCAAGTTGGTGGTAGGGCGATAATCATCAAGCAAACATACCACAAGCTTGGTGGTAAAGGGATATAATCATCAAAGTAATCACAAACATACCACAAGCTTGGTGGTAAAGGGAGATAATCATCAAGCAAACATACCACAGGCTTGGTGGTAGCTTGATAATCATCAAGCAAACATACCACAAGCTGGTAAAGGGCGATAATCATCAAGCAAACATACCACAGCTTGCTTGGTGGTAAATCAAGGGGTGGTAGATAATCATCAAGCTTGGTGGTACAGATAATCATCACAAACATACCACAAGCTTGGTGGTAAAGGGAGCTTGGTGGTATAATCATCAAGCAAACATACCACAAGCTAATCATGGTAACAGGAGATAATCATCAAGCAAACATACCACAAGCTTGGTGGTAAAGGGAGATAATCATCAAGCAAACATACCACAAGCTTGGTGGTAAAGGGAAATAATCATCAAGCAAACATACCACAGGCTTGGTGGTAAAGGGAGATAATCATCAAGCAAACATACCACAAGCTTGGTGGTAAAGGGAGATAATCATCAAGCAAACATACCACAAGCTTGGTGGTAAAGGTAGATAATCATCAAGCAAACACACCACAAGCTTGGTGGTAAAGGGAGATAATCATCAAGCAAACATACCACAAGCTTGGTGGTAAAGGGAGAAATCACATACCCACAGGCTTGGTGGTAAAGGTAGATAATCATCAAGCAAACACACCACAAGCTTAGTGGTAAAGGGCGATAATCATCAAGCAAACATACCACAGGCTTGGTGGTAAAGGTAGATAATCATCAAGCAAACACACCACAAGCTTAGTGGTAAAGGGCGATAATCATCAAGCAAACATACCACAGGCTTGGTGGTAAAGGGAGATAATCATCAAGCAAACACACCACAAGCTTGGTGGTAAAGGGAGATAATCATCAAGCAAACATACCACAAGCTTGGTGGTAAAGGGAGATAATCATCAAGCAAACATACCACAGGCTTGGTGGTAAAGGGAGATAATCATCAAGCAAACATACCACAGGCTTGGTGGTAAAGGGCGATAATCATCAAGCAAACATACCACAGGCTTGGTGGTACAGGCTTGGTGGTAAAGGAGATAATCATCAAGCAAACATACCACAAGCTTGGTGGTAAAGGGCGATAATCATCAAGCAAACATACCACAGGCTTGGTGGTAAAGGGAGATAATCAAATCACAAAAGGGCATAATCATCAAGCAAACATACCACAGGCTTGGTGGTAAAGGGAGATAATCATCAAGCAAACATACCACAAGCTTGGTGGTAAAGGGCGATAATCATCAAGCAAACATACCACAGGCTTGGTGGTAAAGGGAGATAATCATCAAGCAAACATACCACAAGCTTGGTGGTAAAGGGAGATAATCATCAAGCAAACATACCACAGGCTTGTGGTAAAGGGAGATAATCATCAAGCAAATATACTACAGCCTTGTGGTAAAGGGAGATAATCCTCAACTTTGGTGCTTACTTGTTAATTCCTTTGATTAGAGCTCAATTGTTGGAATTATAAAGTAGTGGTCAGAAAATGTGTGTAATTGCTTTCCACCAAGCTTGTGGTTTGTGTGGTTGATGACTATCGCCCTTTAATATGTCCTGTTAGTTTGCAGAATGAACCGTGGCTACTTGGAACTATACTGAAAGATATACACGGATACATGGATATCTTAGAGTGGCTCAAAGTGTAGACGACGTGCTTAAGTGTATATCCGTGTCCTTGCGTTGTGTTTCATGTATGGACACTAGTAATATAAGACATGACCCTATTCCGATGTGTTCACTTGAGTCTAATGTGGTTCACGTCAAATGTGTTCAACATATCAACACAAACCAGCTTAGTGGACAGACAAATACGTAAACCCACCTCCTCCTCTGCTTGATCCACCGCCGCCGCCGCCACCTCCACCTCCAGAGTAACGCCGGTAATCTGGAACATGTGGACAATATTCTACAGAGAGTGAAATAACTCAATACAAGAAATGTCATGTATCTCAGTACCAAACGTCATTGATCTCTGTAACACAAAGACGTTCACCTTTCCACCCGGTTTCATTACTTGTTGAGAATAACAAGTAAAGCAAACGCTAATGATATTGTCGTTTCTACCTGGACAGTAGGGTTCGGCGTTACAGTAATGCTATCATAGCTATGTTGTGGTACAGTCGTCCAGGTGATTGCACATGGCAGGTGTATCAACACACCTGTCTGGACAGTAGGGTTCAGCGTTACAGTAATGCTATCATAGCTATGTTGTGGTACAGGCGTCCAGGTGATTGCACATGGCAGGTGTAGCAACACACCTGTCTGGTTTGGTCACCTCATCCTGGACAGTAGGGTACAGCGTTACAGTAATGCACTTGTCAGGTGTAGCAATACACTGATCTGGTTTGGTCACCTCATTCTGACTAAAGCACGTTTTGACTTTGGCGCTCAGTACCATAAAGTAAAACCAGCATGCATGTTCGTGAAGACTACCTACATGGCGGAGGAGTGGGCAGGACCTTTTCCTTGAAAGCGTACAGATCTTCATCCCGACGGAGGTCAGACAACTCGTGTGTATTTCTGTTTTCCACAACTAGCGACGTCAGGGGAGTCACAAAGCGATACTGAGGACAGACATTTGATGGACTATGTTATAACTAGAAAAAGATTCATTAGGTCCATAAGGTGGATATTTCAAAACATTTTGTACGAAACAAGTATTGTGGAAAGCATTATATTTGTGTCAGACATTTTGGGGAAAATGGACAGATGTAATCAGGGATCTTTAATCTACCGTAGTATGTATTTTTGCCAAAGCAAATTTCTTTTACGGACTCTAAAAGAGAAAGGTAAAACAATGCTGGCTGGCTGAAGTAATACACTGATGTAATATGATATTTTGAGGGTAAAGGTTTTGAGTTATAAAATAACAGGCTCATGCGAAAGTAATGCGAAACCGATTTTACCTGAAGAGACAGTTCAAGGGCTTTCTGCTTCAGACTTTCTCTGGTGTTCCTGTCATTTTCGCCAACTCTCTGTTGCATTAGGTCCCGGATGTACAGGTAAGCATGCATTCTTTTCAGTATTCCTTCAACATTGACGTTGTCATACAGGGGTGTTAGAGCCTCAAACTGGGACTTTAGATCCACTTCCGAACTGGTGAGTTTCAGGTTTACAGGTCCACTGTCTGATGTCCCTATGATGTTTGTCGTCAGTGAGTCTATTTCAGAGGAGTCGCTCTGAGAGTCAAGGATACCGGTCACAATAAGCTCAGACCCTTCAAAGTAGTTTGTGAAGTTCTGTTGTGTTCCGGAGGAAATGCGTTGTGTTTCGGAGGTAATGGCGTCACTGTACCGGAAAGTGACACCGTGAAGCATGACTGAGGACACCTGGTGGTAGAAGTTCTGAATCTGCCTGGCTGGATCACCATCTGTGTAGATCCTTCTCGTAATGCCAAAGTTCTGGAGCGCCAGCTTCTTGACGAGTTCCCAGTCGGCATCCTTGCCAAACGCCAGCGTGTACAAGGGGATGTCCTTCTTGTTGGCTGATCTCACATTCTGGAAGGATATAAGCTCTTCTGGCAATGAGTAATATTTTTTTATGTTAGTTTACGATTACTAATTTTAGCGATCCAAAAATGTAATGCAGAGTTCATAATTAGCAGAGAAGACCCTGTGAAGCAGACAACCGTGCTTCATCTAAGAAGAGAGCCAATGGAATGGACAATTGGCGGTCATATAAGTTGGAAAATATTTACAGGGAAAAAGTTGATTAAAAATACATTTTAGCAATGTTTTGGTCATGCGTCTTGACTGAGAGTTGACAGGCACTGTTTATGAAGGAACGGATTCAAAGGAGGTTCCCACCCTCCGTTATATCAGTTCTGACATTCAGGACCGTTGGGAATTGTCTTACCTGCAATACTCGGTTAGGATTGCGCTCGCCCGCAGTTGCTCTTCCATCAGTGAGGAAAATAACGAGAGCTCCCTCAGATGACCTCTGTCTTTCGCTCAAATATTCCAGGCCGGATACAAGTGACTTTCTGATGTTTGTCCCTGAAGAATAATTAAAATACCATAATCTCTCAGCATTCCAGCCTTGATAAGGGCTGCAGATGATTTGGTCACTTATAACAGGATAATGACATGATACTCAATATCAAAACTGCAGTGTTATTACTAACAGCCAAGTTCCATCACTATGAACGACTTACAGCCTACAGATTTGAGTGAGTCAATGTATTTGACAGCACGCTCGGCATTGTTGGCCTCCGCCATGTCCGACTGCCAGTATCGGATTCTAGAGCTGAATGAGATGATGTTAAACTTGTCGTCTGCTCTGAGATCTCTGAGGATGACCTTCATGGCGGCCTTGAGTTGGTCCATCTTCCCGTTGTACATAGATGAGCTCGTGTCCAGGATAAACAGGATGTCTTTGGGGATGGGGTTAGGAACGGCGGGAGCAAAGAAGTGAATGAAATAGCCATTCGAGACCTAGATGAAACACACAGAAATCCATGTATGATACACATATCTCAAACAAAATAACAAACAACCCTGGTTTAGTGTCTTGGGTGTATTGCAAACATATAAACTACGAGCCAATAGGTAAGGGCAGGTGCTGAGAATGTAGATTCTCCGTATCATATGTAACGTAAGCTATGCTGGAGCCGTTTCCCTGATTATTGCAGACACCCATATTCCCATATTATATGCATCAATGGCTGCCAAGCTCACCAGGAGATCGCCAGCATCAAAGCCCCTGTCCACATCATACATCACCGAGAAGACCCCAGAGATTCCTTCTGCCCACCGAGTCAACTGCTGTTCCAGGGTTGGGTGGAAGCGAATGTAGGCTGAGTTGGGGGTGGGTCTCTGTATGACAGCCATGTTGTTGTTTTCTAGTATCAACAACACATATACACCATATATCAGTCAATGTCTCCTCAAATAAAGAGTATACTTGATGTATGTCTCAAAGATGAGTTCCAGTAATGATTCATATCTGGAGCATGAAGAAAACTTATTTTGGTTGCTTTCAGAAGTTATATACAAGAATAGAAGAATAACAATGAGTTCCTACCCGTGATGTCTACATCCGTTATGCTGTTGCCAGATATTGGCGGGACTTTGAGTGTGGTGATTTCACGTGTGTCCTGTATAGCGACATCGATCTTCATGTCCGGAACAGGCTGACCAGGGTCGATGTAGATGGAGTGTGTGTAGACACCGTTACGTCGTTGTAACACCTCCTCATACGTCAGGTTGAAGGTAAGGTTGGCGTTTTTTGGAACACTTAGATTCATTATGAACTTGTTCGTCTCATGGGCACTGAATATTATAAAATAGATTACATTCAACGTAGAGTATTTTTTATAAAATATATAACATTTTCCACAGCATTTTTCTACTCATTGTTGGATGTTTCTAAGTGGATCGGATGGTCAGGATAGCTGACATGGTTGATTGCATGTCAACGTCGGAGGATTTGCCCCTAATATCAATCACGAGATCGTTTTGACCAGATTCGAACACGTATATGCCGCTGTCATGCTTCTGAAACCTTGCAGACTGTTGTGCCCAGCAACAAATAATCCAAAACACTAATAATTCATGTTCAACAGTAACATGAGTCACGTGTATTACTATATGCGAGGAAATCATAAACACAAAATTACACGATTGCTATAGAGCACCATAACTTATAAACCGACAGTGACGTCACTCTATTGTTCTTAGGGGACACTTTTTCTCGTAATAGCCCTCAAATCTGATACAATCTCGCTTCCTCGGGCAATTATCTAAATAATGTCCCTCTGCCCGGGCATTATCTTAACGTCCCTCTGCCTGGGGATTTTCTGAGGAATAGCCCTTGACTTTGAATCATTACTTGTTTTGAAGATTGATACGATTTTGTCTTGCCATCACTAAATGCGATCTTAAAATATGGCATTATTGACAATTTCCAGCATGTAGTGCCGACAACCGGTTTCGAACCCGCAACCCTTCGCTTAGTAGCGTGGTGGTTTTTTTCTACTAGGCTACGAAGGATCGCTGTAAAGAATGAGATTGTTTGTCGGTAAAAACCGTGTGTTCCTCGCAAGACGGGTAGTGCGAGCAGCGCACGTGCAGGGCACGGGTAGCGCGTGCGGAGCACGGGCATTGCGAGGCGTCGGCTGCCAGTACAGTCCGTTTGAGTCAGAAACGGACCGATGAATTGCAAATTTTATCATTGTACAAAATTGCCACATAAAGATAAATAGTACACATGTTTATAAAATTTTCAAATATAAGAAAGCTGTTGGGTATTAGTAAATGATAAACATATGTACTATTTATCTTTATGTGGCAATTTTGTACAATGATAAAATTTGCAATTCATCGGTCCGTTTCTGACTCAAACGGACTGTAGATTTCAATAGTAAATACCAAATATGAAATTATATCTTCGGTCGGTTTATAAGTTGGATATAACATGACCCGTGGGCATTATTGAAAAGTTATCCCTCTTCCCTTGGGAAGCTGGCTTACTTTTCAATAATGCCCGCGGGTCATGTTATATCCTACACTTAGGACATAAGCGGCGTCGGAGAGTGGCATACATGACATGGGAGCTTTATTGCATTCACACTATGAAAATCAAATGATCAAATTAGGTTTCTTCTTGTTCGAATATGTCCATGTTATCGTAAAATAATAATTATTGAATTTGTGATCAAACTGTAAATATATAATATCCATTTCATCGCACTTGTGGACACGTATTGTTTGCAGGTACTTGTTCGAGTTCTCGGAGTTCAGACGTACGAAAATGAGCGATATGGGATATTACTTACCGCTTAAGGAATTGCAAGGAATGCCCAATGTGTACTACATATATAGCCATGAAGATGGGTGATATGCAATATACCCCTGAAGGAATTGCAAGTGTCCATGAGTGAACATACTCAAGGTGTGGTATATTTGCAACCATGACGTATGATGATGGGTATATGGAATAGGACTTACGTCAGAAGGAATTGCAAGTTTCTATGTGTCATGATGCTCAAAGTGTGGTATATTTGCAACCATGATGCATGAAGATGGGTGATATGGAACAGGAAGTACCCCTGAAGGAATTGCAAGTGCGCAAAGAACACATTTGCTATGCTCTCTGTAGATGCAAACACTACTCTTGAAGAAGGATGATATGGCATACGACGTACCTCCGACTGCTGTCACGATTATCGTGTTGACAGTGTTTGGTATGTGTAACTTTGACGGCCCAGGATGGCTAGTACTGAATACAATGTACCTCTCTCTGTCGCCTTTACAAAATGTCGGGTATCTCCAGCGTTGGCAATGAAGAGGATCCTATACCACAAGACCGACCTTTGGTGGACGTACACATTGCTAGACGATAGACGACACCGCGTGTAAGGAATGACTGTTGACGTATTAATATGGATGAACATGACGTACCTCTGGCTGACCTTGCCGGCAGCGTGGCCCTGTGCTTTTGCTATTCTGTACGACTTTTCAGCGCTTTCCTTTTCATTGACACGGCTGTAGTACTTCCGGTCATTGAATTTACTGAAAGCGACAAAAATACCCACTTGTGCTCCCCTGAATATTTTATTCGTCGTTTGAAAGGATCAATGTAATTTTATAGTGACTTCCGTTGATCAGTTTACATCTATTTCTATCAATATGGGGTCGGTAGGGTAGTCTAGTGGTCAAGGCGTTCGGACTTCACACCGAAGGCACGAGTTCGATTCCCCACATGGCTGCATTGTGCAATGCCCATTTCTGGTGTCCCCCGCCGTGATGATGCTGAAATATCGCTAATCGCGGGGTAAAACATGCTCAGTCAGTCTATTAACATGACAGGGCTGTTGGATGATTTACATTGCGTTCTTTAACATTGCCATATCGGAATTACACTGGTTCATTTCCTCAAGCCAAAGTAAGATGGTCATTTGCATTTCGAGCAGAAATGAGATAAACAAATGAATATTTAATACTTTAAATGTTGACAAAATATTAAACCACCTGACCCCACATTGCTTTATTTATGCTAACATTGACTAACATACTTACAAGCTGAACTCGCTGATGTATGCCGAGTTGGGCAGCGTCACGTCAACAGCGACGTCGGCAGAGACGTTTGCTGTGTTGAGGATTCTGCCCGTAACCTGCGTCTTTGCGAAGCGGTAGCGAATGTCCGTTATCACATGCAGAAACCCGAACTCTGCGATCTACAAAATACATTGTGGTGAAAGACAATAGAACAGTTTTACGGCCTCCATGTCATTACATTCAGAGCTTGTTACACATTCCACCTTTTACATGGGATATTACAACTAGATCTTCATAATGTGTGAAGATGGGGTGCAGGGCTGGTTCTCGATAGCAAGAACATTTGTTTTCATTTGGGGCGTAGCCCGGGGTTCGATTCCTATGTGGGTGTGACGAAGGTTTCTGGAGTTCCACTCCATGATAATGCTGCAATATTGCTGAATATTACTCACTCACTCCTAATAACCACGTCGAAGGTGCGACAATGATATTTTAATGTCCATGTATTCTCTCTCACAAAAGAAACGCAATACAAAATTGGAATTTTGATCCATCCGTCTATTGGTACAGGGGGGATTTTACAAACACGTTTCAATGTATTTAGAATTCCTATGATGTTTTTGTCTGAAATCATCACATGCAAACGCATCCAGCATGAAATATCTGTATGTAACCGCATGATTTTGAGTTGGTGCATGCAATGTCACAGAACACATAATGCACGTGCAATGCGCGTGAAACTTGGGACCCACATCGTGTCACTGATGAGTATAAAAGATCGATCACTGTTTTTGTTAAGTCACTTTATTTGAGATTTTCTAAAGAATTAAAAATGCAATGACTCAGCCTCGCCAATCGAAATATTGCTATAGGGCTACAGGACAAACTCAGCATGCAGTTGCCCGTCGTATAAGCGTACACCAGAGCACGATTTCTCGTCTTTTGGAAAGATATCACCAGCAGAACTCCGTTGAAGACAGACCTAGAAGTGGACGACCCCGAGTGACCACTAGAGCCCAAGATCGGTACATCCGGGTACATCACCTACGTCATCGTACAGCTACAGCCACCAATACCGCTAGACACATACCCGGATAACGAAGATTATCCGCACAAATTGTCATGAACAGGCTTCGAGAGGCGGGTTTGAGAGCACGAAGACCGTACTTTGGCCCTGTGCCTCGTCAGCTACATCGACAACATCGTGTTTAGTGGTGCACCAACGTTCAGGTCTGGAATATGGCTAATTGGCGTCGAATCTGGTTCAGCGATGAGGTTCTGTTGCAACGACGCTATGGAAGAATGAGAAGGAAACAGATGCCGTCATGAACGTTTTGCCGACGCCTGCGTCCCCCAGGTTGACCGATTTGGGAGGGGCAGCGTGATGACGTTGGGGAAAATATTCTTCACTGGAAGAAGTGATTTATTGATGATCCAAGGCAACCTGAGTGCGCAACGCTACTGTGCTGACATCCTTCGTCCACACCTGCTTCTATTCTCAACCGTCAGAGGGAGCTGTTCCGGCAGGATAATGCCAGACTACACACAGCACGTGTCACGAGAGTTTTCTTCATGAATCAGAACATCAATGTGCTGCCATGGCACCTCCAGATCACTAGACTTAAACCCGATCGAGCATCTTTGGGACACTCTGGACAGGCGTGTACGACAGCGTCACCCACAGCCGCAGACCCTTCAACAACTCGCCCATGCACTACAGGCAGAGTGGACTGCAATTCAGCAACATCAGATCCAGAGACTGATTTGTTCGATGCCGAGCCGATGTCGCGCAGTACTAAACGCCAATGGTGGTCACACTATATACTAACTTAAGCGCCACCAAGCGTCTTTGTGTGATCTATCTGACATTTTGCCGAGCCTATACCAAACATCGATATTGGGACATTACCTATGCGAAGTTTCATTGCATTTCGTTGATTATTAAAACCAATACAATGTATCATGATAAAGAAAACAAATTAGTTCAAATGTTTATATGCGTTTCTTTTTTTAGAGAGTGTATTATACAGCGGTCGAATACTCTCATACATGAATTGTTGTTTAAACTGTGACTACGAGTATGAACATTTTACATTTGGAACTTTTCTAGTGAAATCAATTGTTTTATTTTTGTTGTACAATGATCAAAGTGTGGTTTAAATTAATGTCTCCCAATTACATATATCTCCAGAACCACTTGCACTTTCCGACAAATAATTAAACACCTTATATGGTTTAGGTGTCTAGCGTCAAGGACGCGTGGCATCTTCCGCATTCCTCCAGTACCCTATCACTAGTTGTCGGATTGTTTCAATACATGTACACCCTTGAATACCCATAACATGAGAGCCAAACAATATAATTGGCAGGATTTTAATGTCAAAGATTTAGAAATATGGTTAATTTCGGCATAAACACCCTGAAGAAGAAATTATACATACACAACAGTAATGTCCTTATGCTTAGGAACACCTCTTTAAAGAATATGTCATATTTTAAGACGAGTTGAATTTTCAGAAATCCTAATTTCATGTGCCCCACAATGACAAGACATAACCTAAGAACATTCCGGTACTCCTCTGGCTACCTGGCCAGCTTTTTCTCTGCACCTGTCCCCTATCGACCACGCTTGGGCTGAAATGGAGCGACGTTGACGTCAAGCCCGGAATCAGCAACTGACTTTAGCTGATTGGGACAAGCGTTGGTTCAGAACTAGAACAACATTCCCCAAGCTCTCTTCAATCGCTTAGTGCCGTCTATACGTCGTCGTTGTCAAGCCTGCATCAACGCCAATGGTGGACACACACGATACTGAATATGTGAACTGACCTTTGACTCCAAAAGGTCCACAGTTAAATGTGATTAGGGAAAACACCATAAATCATGTTATTATCTTTTTGCATTTAAAAATGCCATACCATCAAAAATGTACAGTTACTTTATTCCAGTGGTATCTTGGAAGACAAATGTGCACACATGGATCTATAGAGATGCCTGCGACCAAGGAGAGTCGGGACACCAAGTGGACATTTCCACTGACGGAAGCGAGATAAGACGTTCACTTTAGAGTAAGTCTAACAAGAGCAGTAACTATTACTACAGCTACTAATGCTACTACTACAGCTACTAATGCTACTACTACAACTACTAATGCTACTACTACAGCTACTAATGCTACTACTACAGGTACTAATGCTGCTACTACTACAGCTACTAATGCTACACTACAGCTACTACTACTACTACAGCTACTACAGCTACTAATGCTACTACTACAGCTACTAATACTACTACTACAGCTACTAATGCTACTACTACACTACTAATGCTACTACTACAGCTACTAATGCTAATACTACAGGTACTAATGCTGCTACTACTACAGCTACTAATGCTACTTCTTCTACAGCTACTACTACTACAGCTCATAATAATACTACTACAGTTACTAATGCTACTACTATGGCTACTAATACTACTACAGCTACTAATGCTACTACTACAGCTACTAATGCTACAACTACAGGTACTTATGCTACTACTAATACAGCTACTAACGCTACTACTACAGCTACTACAGCTACTTATACTACTACTACAGCTACTAATGCTACTACTACTACAGCTACTAACGCTACTACTACAGCTACTAACGCTACTAATACTACTACTACAGCTACTAACGCTACTACAGCTACTTATGCTACAACTACTGCTACTAATGCTACTACTACTACAGCTACTAATGTTACTACTACAGCTACTAATGTTACTACTACAGCTACTTATACTACTACTACAGCTTCTAATGCTACTACTACAGCTACTAATGTTACTACTACAGCTACTTATACTACTACTACAGCTTCTAATGCTACTACTACTACAGCTACTAATGCTACTACTACAGCTACTAATGTTACTACTACAGCTACTAAAGCTACTACTACAGCTATTAATGTTACTACTGCAGCTACTTATGCTCCTACTACTACTACTGCTGCTGCTACATTGACTATTGACTAACGCGTGGTCTCGGAATACATATATATTTGACAGAATCAAATAATTCCAGTTATATTGAAAAGGAGCCCCAGTGAGATGGGAGACTCATAGACCAATAACATCTGAATTGGGGCTACTCATGCTGCTGTCATTATCAATTAAAATTACATTCTACAACCATCAGATAAAATGAGAAATGACAGGTTTTGGTCCTGTTGTCAAGCTCTCTCCTGTCTCCAAGGAGCCTGACTACAGTGCTGCTGTCATACCCACAGATGGCCCAGTCTAGTACTACCATTCCAGTACAGTATTCTCTTTCAGACAGATATATAATCATGTTGATGATATAGATGAACCTCTTTGTAGAAGAAAATATCAATGGAAGTGAAACAAATGGCACCTGCCTTATACTTGAAGATCTAATAAATGTTTCTATACAATCACGGAGTTTTAAGCCCGCATTTGTTATAGTGACATTATCAAAATGTAGTTATATATTGGTGCCACGAGTGATTGGATAGGTTAGGACCAATAAGTTATCAATATAATTCTCACATTTGCTGAGTAATCTGACCATCTCCGTGGTGTAATGGTTAGAGTGTCCGCCCGGAGTGGTTCCTGCCTGGCGCTCGGCATTTATGGGTACAACAAGGACTGGTTAGCTCGGAGTCAGTATAATGTGTCTGAGTGGGGTATTCGTGCTTCACTGCGGCATGGTATCTCAGTGGGCTAGCACTATAAAACCAGCTTAAGTCTGGGCTAGTACAAGCAGCCTCACATACACATACACACGCATGCAAGTCGTCATATGAGCGAAATATTCTCAAGCACGACGTTAAACCCAATTTCACCTCACCTCACCTGTAAACTTCAAAAAAGATATTGCCCAAGCAGTGACTTAAAGACAGAGCAAGGCTTTCCCATAGACGCTTGTAGACTGCCTTCAAGGCCTTATACACAGGACTAGGTGTTAACCTCCCTAGCCTCTTACCAAACATTTGGCTTGTTCATCAAGTTTTGACAGATGAAAATGTTGGCAAAAAGCGCTTTGAGCATGGCCATGTGTTGTGGAATTAGCGATATATAAATATCCTACTACTACTACTACTACTACTACTACTACTACTACTACTACTACTACTACTACTACTACTAAAATATCCTGACCACTAATCAAGATGCTAGACTCACTTCATCTTGGACCTCGGCGGGTTTTAGCGGGCTGAGCGGAAGAGGGAATAATGCTGTACGGGAAACACAATAACTACTACTACTACTACTACTACTACTACTACTACTACTACTACTACTACTATTACTACTACTGAAAACCCTTAAAGATCCGGGTTAGAATTAGTCTTCAGTAACCCCTGCTTGTCGTAAGAGGCGACTAACGGCATCGGGTGGTCAGGCTCGCTGACTGGGTTGACACATATCATCGTATCCCAATTACGTAGAACAATGCTTGTGATGTTGACCACTGAATTGTCTGGTCCATACTTGACTTTTTACAGACCGCCGTCATATATCATAGATTCCTGTATGTAGCAGCTACTGTAGGATATGGTCATGTGGTATATCTGAATGTAGATTGAAAGTTCTGATACACGTGTCTACCTGAACTTAAGAACGTCAATCGTCAAACCCTCCTTATTTTCTTACATCTTACATAAGATATCACATGCACTTGATGGAGAATTGGTTCAAGAATACCCTTCGTTTCACAACATAATAATAATTAATAATTGTGACTTTATAATGCGCCTTTTCGATGTCCAGGGCACATGTTCAAAACGCTAACACACAATTATTATTACCCCACGGTGCCTGTAAGGCGGTAGAAGGTTAATGGTCACATCACTTTGTACCCATTTTCTGCTGGTCGAACAGAGGCAAGTTGGAATAAACTCACTTGCCTAAGGTGAGGCCTCGCGTATCACACGTGCTTCGCAGTGGAGTCCTAGAAACTCTCAATTGTCAATCTGCCAAACACGGTCACCCATCCAAGAACTCTCCTCGCCAACACCTGATTTGTGACTTGAACTGTAGGCACAGAACTACACACCACCACAAAGATTGGGAGTAAACTCATCTGATGTAAAGATGGGAGCGACGGAAATGGTAGTCAAATAACAGACCTTGTAACAGGGCGACATCAAGTCAAATGATACTAGACAGCTTTACGATAAGGTATACCAACATCATTATTGCACTTGGAAAATAACAAAAATGTGTTCCATTATATAACTCACATGAACAGCAACTGGCTGATTTATATGAACATTTAAATATAAATATCCTATAATAATAATTTCGGTTGACCTCTGAACCCATTCTACGATTATAATTGTGTCATAGGTGTCTTTTGAGGAATAACTTTCAAATTATGGCGATACCGGGTGTGCGGGCAAAGGTTAACCTATTGTGTCAACCGGCGGTATTTGTCACAAACACACGCGAAGGCAAGGCAAATGCCTCACTGAAAAAACACACGGGGACAGTTGATACAAATGGAATTAGGGAATTTCATGGGACATCATTTTTGTCACTGATTCGTCACATTTTGGAAATAAACTCCACATGTCTACCGTAAAACATTTTGTGAGCTGAGCTTTTAGTGCTGTTACCTTAATCAAACAACTTTTGAGCGACAGTCCTAAGCGTCGGTTTTTGAAATCTTTCCAGAAAGACCATGCTTAAGAAAAGCTTAACATTTCACGACATATGTTGAAATCATTTATTTAAGATGGTGTGGATTAATTATGGGTCATGTAAATAACTTATAAGTCAATAGAGCACTGAGAAAAAACACATGGTTTAAATAAAGATCACTACCTCTTCGTCTTCCGCCACGGCAATGGTGGGTAGAAGTAGAAGCAACGTCAGCATCCACATGTCTGTCCTGGTCATCCTCCCACACCTTCACGCACCTGTCACAGGAGCAACCTGCACGTGTGGTATCACCGAGAATCTCCAGTATAATGGAGAGAAGATGTGAGTCATGGGACATGTGACCAACACAACATGGGGCGGTCAAGTGGGGAAACAGACTGCATCCCCTTCGTCTCAAGGACAGCTCCCAGCATCATCTTGTGGCGTGTTGACGTGGTACTGGCGCAAAGACGTTACTGTAATGGCTGTGAATATGTTGCGCTACTTCAAGTCAAAATATGTTGTATTTCGCACCATACAAAGCCAAGTAAATAGAGGGAACTTGTAATTCTTTTTGTATGTTTTGCCTGACCCTTTGCAGATAGAATAGTGATACTGGTTCGTGAGGATGTATTCCTCCTCGTCCAAGTTTCAAACTGACACTATTACAAAACACAGTTGCACACGTGCTGACATGGAAGTTGCCATTATCAACACTGCAGGATTCATGAAAACTGTTTGAAATGACCATACGGCGAAGAATTATAATTTTGGATATAAAGGGATACACATTTCTAGGATCATTACAGATGGTTGACAGCAAATACTACTAATGTACTGATCTGATGTTACTAAACTCAATATTCAAGCTGTGTGACGGAGTTCTGTAGATAATCGTATCTGGACCCTCGAGTGATCAACAGTATGAAAACCGAGCTACGACTTAAGGATGCAATCAGTCAAGCCTCACCCGCCACAACACACCATATATTGCTGACTGCTGTTACAAGCACAAGGATGCAATCAGTCAAGCCTCACCCGCCACAACACACCATATATAGCTGACTGCTGTTACCAGCACAAGGATGCAATCAGTCCTCACCCGCCTCACCCCATATATTGCTGCCACCAGCACAAGGATGCACACCTCACCCGCCATATATATATTGCTGACTGCTGTTACAAGCAAGCACAAAGGATGCAATCAGTCAAGCACAAGGATGCAATCAGTCAAGCCTCACCCGCCACAACACACCATATATGTTACAAGCTGACTGCTGTTACAAGCACAAGGATGCAATCAGTCAAGCCTCACCCGCCACAACACACACCATATATAGCTGACAGTCAAGCCTCACCCGCCACAACACACCATATATAGCTGACTGCTGTTACCACAAGGATGCAATCAGTCAGGCCACAACACACCATATATTTGCTGATGCTGTTAAATCAGTCAAGCCTCACCCGCCACAACACACCATATATTGCTGACTGCTGTTACCAGCACAAGGATGCAATCAGTCAAGCCTCACCCGCCACAACACACCATATATAGCTGACTGCTGTTACAAGCACAAGGATGCAATCAGTCAAGCCTCACCCACCACAACACACCATATATAGCTGACTGCTGTTACAAGCACATGTTGCTGGGAATCTGTATCCTTACCTAGAATCCCAGGCTTAGAAGCTGAGAATGCATACTTAGATTACTTAAAATGTCTGTTGCATTACGTTTATTTATCTGAGCCCATATCCCGTAAATGATACACTAAAACAGTCAGCTGGAATACACTTCATTGAAGATTTGTATGTCAAGTAGCATGACTATTACATACACAACCTACACACATGCAAACACACGACACAAGCACACACGACACACTTGCACGACCCCTGCACATGCACAACCTAGACAAATGTACTACCCACTCAGACAATCGCCACCCTATGGGTATATGTCCCATGTGAATAATCTGGATGAAAATATGAATATCATGGGCACCGGAAACATGGTACATATTTCAGACCCAGTTAATAATATTTGGTGTTTTTTATATTCAATATCTTCAGTTTGAAATGATTTAAGTGCTCATGCATTCACACCCATTATTCAGAATAAGACCTGTAAGCAAGTCAAGATAGTTGCTACTGATTCCTGACACAACTTGATGTCCAATAGAAAACATGGAAAGGTTTATATAGACAGTTGACAGTCCTGCATACGGTGCAGTTCTATGGTAACATCGACGTTATACTTCAGTGTCAGTGATAGGAGTTGATGCTGGATGGATCTGACAGCGTTAACACACAGGGAATACCAAGTAGAATTTCCATAGGCGGAAGAGAGATAACGCCGAGGTGGCGAGGGTTAGAGCGAATGGACATGTGTACACGCGTATTTGAAACGCAGGAACGTACGTCAGTTTGTAAAGATAAACTGTACATTCAATCTTCAAATAGATGTCATGTATAAGTGCACTATTATATTGGTTCAACTCTTCACAGTTTTCATGTATTGAAGCAAATGAAGCACGATGACCTATCAGACACCCTACACACCTTCTCATCATTATATTGTCACGCACCTTCATATCATTATACACCACCCGTGATGGTCCGGGTTAGAATGAACCTTCAGTAACCCATGCTTGTCGTAAGAAGCGACTAACGGGATCGGGTGGTCAGGTTCACTGACTTGGTTGACATATGTCATCGGATCCCAATTGCGCAGATTGATCCTCTGCTGTTGATCACAGGATTGTCTGGTCCAGACTCGATCATTTACAGACCGCCGCCATATAGCTGGAATATTGCTGAGTGCGGCGTAAAACTAAACTCACTCACTCACTCGTATCATTATACACTTTCATACCCCCTCGCATCAACACACATCGGAATACACCTTCACAACATCATACAAAGTCAAAAACCTTCCCATACGCATGCACCTTCACACCCCTTCCCGCCATCACACACCTTTACACCCATAAGACCACACCCTCACACACCTTCACATAATAATACACCTTGTCACGTATATCCACATAATCATACACCTTCACATAATCATAACACCTTCTCAGGAACATTCACGTAATCAGACACCTTCACATAATCTCACACTTTCTCATATCAGACACCTTCACATAATAACACACCTTCTCACGTATATCCGTATAATCACACACCCTCACACATCTTCACATAATAACACACCTTCTCATGTACATTCACATAATCAGACACCTTCACATAATCCACATTTTCTCATTATCAGACACCTTCACATAATAACACCTTCTAACGAACATTCACATAATCAGACACCTTCACATAATAACACACCTTCTCACGTACATTTCCATAATCACACACCTTCACATAATCATAAAACCTTCTCACGAACATTCACATAATCAGACACCTTCACATAATCCCACACTTTCTAATTATCAGACACCTTCACATAATAATAGCACACCTTCTCACGAACATTCACATAATCAGACACCTTCACATAATCCCACACCTTGTCATTATCAGACACCTTCACATAATAACACACCTTCTCACGTACATCCATATAATCACACACCTTCACATAATCTTACACCTTCCCACGTATATTCACACACCTTCTTATTATCACACACCTTCTCACGAACATTCACATAATCACACACCTTCACATAATCTTACACCTTCCCACCTTCCCACGTATATTCACACACCTTCTCATTATTACACACCTTCTCACGGACATTCACATAATCACACACCTTCACATAATCTTACACCTTCCCCAGTATATTCACACACCTTCTCATTATCACACACCTTCTCGCGTACATTCACATAATCACACACCTTCACATAATCTTACACCTTCTCACGTATATTCACGCACCTTCTCATTATCACACACCTTCTCATGTACATTTACATAATCAGACACCTTCTCATTATCACACACCTTCTCATTATTACACACCTTCTCATTATCACACACCTTCTCAAGTACATTCACATAATCACACACCTTCTCATTATCACACACCTTCTCATTATCACACACCTTCTCACGTACATCCAGGTATCTAACAACCATACAATGTCTCAAACCTTCACGCAGAACCTTCACTCAATGACATTGCCATTCAACATCGGAGTCTATCTGCTTCATACAATCTGTACCCTTTCCGATAGCTTTTCATCCAATCAAATCCATTAACCCTCATGTATACATGCACATCCTCCTTCATGTACACACGCTTACGTCATCCTTCACCCTCAAGTACATACACTGGAATATATGTACATAGTGTAACCTTTGTGTACATGTATTAACCAACACACTTTCAGCTGCAAATACTCATTTCCATATACATTTCCATAATGTATTCACATCAACTCATATTACTTCAGTTCAAACATCTTCACACCTTCACACACGTTAATTTTCCCAAACCTTCCCTTACACACAACTTGATTTTCACCCTCGAAATGGTCTTCATCCACCCATGCGTGCCATGTGAGGTGACTGCCGGAATTACTGACTTGCTGACTTGATTGACACGTGTCATTGTATCCCAGATGCGTAGATCGATGGCCATGCTGTTGACCACGGGATTGTTTGATCGAGACTCGATTATTTACACACCCACACCATATAGCTGGAACATAGTCTGTCTTATAGACCCGGAAACAGTTATGTCCCAGAAAGCCCACGCAAGTCTAGAATATGTGGCAAGTAGAGATAGCCCCGGTTCTGAAAATGAAGAAAATCTCAGGGCTCCTTTTTCATTATATTATATTTTCTTTATTATGAACTGTTTTATCTGTAAAATATGTTCATATCAGAGACTAGTTGTTGGTCCAGCTGGAACATTGCTTGCTGATTCTGGCATTAAACAAGAAACAAACAAAACCCTGCTGATTACACTTCACAGACACCAGAGACGATTACGACGTTGTGATGACCTCGTTTCCCTATCCATTAAAGTAGTGCAGCGTTAAACAACCAACAAATATACAACCACATATTAACAATCTATTTCCCAACAACTCCATTTGCCCACACTTACCATTACTTTCACAGTTTTACTTACACATTCAGGTACTCTGACCCACTAATCTTTATTTAGTAGTTTAAGTACTTGACCTGAAGAAATATTTCTTTTGGGGGGTCTGTGGACTTGAAAACTCGCTGTTTCATTTTGTAAAGTTGAATTCAAATTTTGATTTCTAGCCATCTATTGCTCTCTTTCCAAATTTCATTTATCATTGCAGTGGAAGAACAGATCAGTTCATTTTGTCTTTTCAGTAACCACATTCTTAAAGGTTGGGCATTATGCACTTGTATTCTTTGGACAATAATACATTAAAACATCTCATATTACATCATTGTTCGCCATTTTTCTTAATACATTACAGTATTTTGGCTGTATGTTGTTAAGTAAGGAATAGACCATGAGGCATCCTACCTCCTATTTTTATCACTTAAATTTGAATTACTATAACTGATACGCCAGGTGTAATTCCGAGGGTAATATCCGTACATATTTCAACAGCATACACATGTGCGCTGTGCCTATTTGTCCCTGTACCAGTGTATAGTTGGCGTCAGATTCTTGTAACCAGAATGTCACAGCGATAACTTTGTCTCTCTTAAACACACTGCTACCGTAACACATGTTTCTGTTTCTCATGGGCTGCATACAGCATTTCAGGGCCGTACTGTTTCAAGGGAAGTGGGAGGCATTCAGAGTTGCGTCCCTTGTATGGTGTACACGTGAATGTTTGTTCCCAAGGTGGAGGTTTGGAGTTATCGTCATTATGCTGCTTGGCCTGTACTATTCCCGCGTTCACCCATGCTTTAAACATCTCACATAGGAAGATTAAAATGCCATCGTGTGACATTAACTGAAACCTTTTCCTCTTGTCTACAAATTCTGCTTATTTAGTTCTGGACCCTTAGAATATAACGAACGAAAAGTGGCTCACTTTAGTGGTTTATTAATAATCGTACAAAATGGATAAATATTAATATTACATTATATATATATTACATGTGAGTACATTTCAAAACTGTAGTCCCCCTACTGAGAGTTATCGTCATTTGGCGACCAAGACCTGGTATCCGAATTCAACGTTTATTCAATACCGTGTATTTTGATTTCGTCAGTGGTCTTCTGGATAAAGCCCAGGTAACAAATCAGTTGAAGATGGTCCTTGGATGTGTGACTGCATTTGACAGTTTACTCCTGGGGATTGCAAGGACTTCAGACCTGCCCCACAACGATGCACACGTGACATGTGGTCTCAACCTAAGCAAGTGAGCTTGCCTCTGTTCACCCAGTAGTGAATGGGTACCAGGTGGGATATATGACCATTAATCCTCTAGCAGCTTGGGTCATCCGGGATAATCACGTCGACTATGTTGTATGCGGTTAGGGCACAGGCGTAAATTGTTTGAGTAATCAGGATACTTGGCAAGGAACATGCAACAACTTGTATATTGTCGATACACTGGACAAATAGCTGAGAGGTATAATATGTTTAGATTAATCATGAGGGGAGTAAAGAAACAAGCAATGACATGTCTATAAGTGTTACTAACGTCCGTATTGACAATACAGTGGACAAACATCTATTCAATACAACGTTGTCCGATACATGTCGTCAACGACGTAGTACTCCGGAGGGGCGTTAAACAGTTCCTTGCCCTTCTCGCCCAGCCACCAGCAGGAGACAGTTTCGTTCCACACGGGGTCCCGTCTGTGTTTGATGTATCCCTTCCCTTCATGGCGTCCATGGACAGACCGACTCCGCAGGTGCCCCACCAGATGTCCTTTCCAGAAGGTGATTTTGTGAAGCCGGATTTTCTTGTGGATGAATTGCCCTGTGGAGAAATAAAAAACAACCGTTAATAAGAGCGAGTGAGTTGTGTTTACGGCCACTTAGAACAGCATTCGAGCTATACCACGGCGAATGAGCTTAATTTGGGAGATGTACCAGTAGTGATGTAACTTAATGTGGGAGATGTACCGGTAGTGATGCATCTTAATGTGGGAGAAGTACCAGTAGTGATGCAGCATAGTGTGGGAGATGTGCCAGTAGTGATGCAGCTTAAAGTGAGAGATGTACCGGAAGTGATGCAGCTTAATGTGGGAGATGTACCGGAAGTGATGCAGCTTAATGTGGGAGATGTACCAGTAGTGATGCAGCTTAATGTGGGAGAAGTACCAGTAGTGATGCAGCTTAGTGTGGGAGATGCGCCAGTAGTGGTGCAGCTTAAAGTGAGAGATGTACCGGAAGTGATGCAGCTTAATGTGGGAGATGTACTGGAAGTGATGCAGCTTAACGTGGGAGATGTGCCAGTAGTGGTGCAGCTTAAAGTGAGAGAAATACCAATAATGATGCAGCTTAATGTGGGAGATGTACCAGTAGTGATGCAGCTTAATGTGGGAGATGTACCAGGAGTGATGCAGCTTAATGTGGGAGATGTACCGGAAGTGATGCAGCTTAATGTGGGAGATGTACCGGAAGTGATGCAGCTTAATGTAAGAGATGTACTGGAAGTGATGCAGCTTAACGTGGGAGATGTGCCAGTAGTGGTGCAGCTTAAAGTGAGAGAAATACCAATAGTGATGCAGCTTAATGTGGGAGATGTACCAGTAGTGATGCAGCTTAATGTGGGAGATGTACCAGGAGTGATGCAGCTTAATGTGGGAGATGTACCGGAAGTGATGCAGCTTAATGTGGGAGATGTACCGGAAGTGATGCAGCTTAATGTAGGAGATGTACTGGAAGTGATGCACGCAATGTGGGAGATGTACCGGAATTGATGCATCTTAAAGTGAGAGAAATACCAATAGTGATGCAGCTTAATGTGGGAGATGTACCAGTAGTGATGCAGCTTAATGTAGTCCCGAGATGTACCGGAAGTGATGCAGCTTAATGTGGGAGATGTACTGGAAGTGATGCAGCTTAATGTAGGTGATGTACTGGAAGTGATGCAGCTTAATGTGGGAGATGTACCAGTAGTGATGCAGCTTAATGTGGGAGATGTGCCAGTAGTGATCCAGTTTAATGTGGGAAGTACTGGAAGTGATGTACTTAATGTGGAGATGTGAGTGATGCAGCTTAATGTGGGAATGTGGGATGATGTGCCGGAGATGTGATAGTGATCTTTAATGTGGGAGATGTACTACAGCAATGTAGGTGATGTACAAGTGATGCAGCTTAATGTGGGAGATGTACCAGTAGTGATGCAGCTTAATGTGGAAGATGTGCCAGTAGTGATCCAGTTTAATGTGGGAGATGTACTGGAAGTGATGCAGCTTAATGTGGGAGATGTACTGGAAGTGATGCAGCTTAATGTGGGAGATGTACCGGAAGTGATGCAGCTTAATGAAGGAGATGTACCGGAAGTGATGCAGCTTAATATAGGAGATGTATTTGAAGTGATGCATCTTAAAGTGAGAGAAATACCAATAGTGATGCAGCTTAATGTGGGAGATGTACCAGTAGTGATGCAGCTTAATGTGGGAGATGTACCAGTAGTGATTCAGCTTAATGTGGGAGAAGTACCGGAAGTGATGCAGCTTAATGTTGGAGATGTACCAGTAGTGATGCAGCTTAATGTGGGAGATGTACCAGTAGTGATGCAGCTTAATGTGGGAGATGTGCCAGTAGTGATCCAGTTTAATGTGGGAGATGTACTGGAAGTGATGCAGCTTAATGTAGGAGATGTACCGGAAGTGATGCAGCTTAATGTAGGAAATGTACCGGAAGTGATGCAGCTTAATGTAGGAGATGTACCGGAAGTGATGCAGCTTAATGTAGGAGATGTACCGGAAGTGATGCAGCTTAATGTAGGAGATGTACCGGAAGTGATGCAGCTTAATGTAGGAGAAGTACTGGAAGTGATGCAGCTTAATGTGGGAGATGTACCGGAAGTGATGCAACTTAATTTAGGAGATGTACCGGAAGTGATGCAGCTCAATGTGGGAGAAGTACCGACAGTGATGGAGGTACAACCCATAATCCCACCGCGATGCGATTTAAACCGGCGGATAGTGTACCCAACAGACATGACTCTGCATTGCGACTTCATGCGTGTTCATCAACGTGCATTTGTGGCCAGCAGTGCCTCCACACAGAAGACTTTGATACCATGCATGTACATTTCATGTGAGCGGTAATTTGATATAGCTCATAGACAGTGGAGGAGAAACACAAAATGTCAAATTAAAGACATATGTCAGTGGATTACGATATTTATTATTTTCAGTGACGTGAAGAAGGAATCTAACTCATCGTTTCAACTGATATCAAGCAAATCAAACGGTAGTGGCTTCTTTTTTGAAACATGGGTCAGTGGGACAAATATTATTCTAATGTGGTATATCGTAGATAAAAGTCTGGAAACATTCTAATTCTATAGGCCGTATTCTCTGTCAAAATATATTACGAAACACAATTGTGACTCACCAATGATGCCGTCTGACTCTTCAGACAGAAGTTGTTCATTTCCAAGCTCGATGTTAAGGAAGTCTCGCCCTAAAGTGTTTGAGGCCTGGTGTAAATGTCTCACGATGTCGATCTGCAACCCACTGTCAAAAACCACAGATAGTTTGGTGATGCGCCCTGTGTCTTGCTTTGTGAAGAGCCGAACTCCAGGGACGGTTTTGTTAAAGTCATTGTCCCAGGAATAGCTGTCCTCCTCCAGGGTGATGTTGCTACAGGTTAGCAGAAGGTGAAGGTCATTGAATAGAACCGCAACCTCCACCATGTACGTTACATACTCGCCCTGTAGATTGAGCATCTTACCTTTGCCTATCCGTGCATTTACTGTCAAATCTGAAATATAGCGTGTTTATCGTAGAGTTGCTTTTACTCATTGTTGATATTTTCACTTAAAGAAAGACCACTGGGAAAGATCTTAGATAGAGTGAAAATTTTTGAATAGCTGTTTTTTTAAGGGAGACATGCAACAAACATTTATCAATAAAAGATGAACATGAAAGAACATCGTTTAATGGCCAACTATTTATAATATATATTTCCTTTTCAATTCAAATACAGTGTCATGTAAAACTACTCCTTGCTGACTGAACGGTGATGGTCCAGTTCAACCCACGTACCTGTCTGTGGGTCATGCATCAGTTGGTAGATCTCCTTCTCTTCTCCTTGCACCTCAAAACAGATGGGGTACGTGAGTCCTTCCAGGAACACCATGAAGTGAGGATCCCAACCACCTGGAAGTATATGCGGATTGTTTGTTTGTTTGTTGTTTATCGACGAACTCCAGCTATATTCCAGCTATATGGCGGCGGTCAGTAAACAATCAAATCTTGACCAGACAACCTGATGATCAACAGCATGAGCATCGATCTGCGCAATTGGGAAACGATAACATGTGTCTCAATGGTGGCTCAAAGTTAAATTATCAGGGAGGTGTTGCATAGTAATATTAATGATTTATGCTTGTGGCCTCATGGTCCATCATCAGAGAGGCGTTGCATGGTACCCCCAAACCAATGGCATGTGTGAGAGGAGGAATAGTGTAATAGAACAAGCTCTCCGAACATATGCTGACCCTGATCAAACCAACTGGGCCAAACTCATTCCAAGTGTAATGATGGCCATGCGCAATGTACCTTGTCAATCAACTGGGTATTCGCCACACTACCTTCTGTTTGGGAAGGACTGAATCTCCCTTTTGACACTACCTTGCTACCCAAATCTACTCTTGGCAATGATGCACAGGGTCATCTGCAAGATCTCTTAACAAACCTCAGTGTGGCTAAATCACTTGCAAAGGACAACATGTCTGCTGCACAGGACAAAAGCAAAGGTCTTCAGGGTATCAGAGCCAGGGAACCTTCCTACTCTGTTGGCGATCAGGTTCTAATGACTGATCCCACAGTCAAAACTGGCCTTTCACCCAAACTATCAAAGAAATGGACAGGGCCTTACAGAATCATTCGCATTGGTCTAAACCACACAAGCTCATGAATACAAGCACAAACAAGGAACATAAATCATTCATACATGCCAACAGACTCAAGCCTTATACACCTCCCACCCCTCGTATGCAAGTGTCACAACCCACCCAGCATCTGGCAACACCTACTCAGTCAACATCCTCCCAGCCTGACAATGCACATAGACAAGGCTCACAAACAGCTGCTCCAACTCCGTCAACATCCTCACAGCCAGACAATCCTATCACAACACAGCACATGTCAAGCCAAGAACCAGATAATGAACCAGACAACACACACCCATCATCTTCCCAACAAGATGATCAACTGTATGCGGTAAAACGCATTCACAAAGCCAAAAAGCGATCAGGAGAAACCCATTACTTAATTGAATGGGAAGGTTACCCACAGCGTACCTGGGAACCCGCCTCTAACCTTAGTCCTGAAATGATAAGTGATTACCACACTTACAGAACCCGATCAGGTCACAGACGAAAACGGAAACCCAGATATTTTGCAAAATCATAGGTCATGACCTTCCATGGTATTCCTCCTGACGACATGACATCTTCGGTCAAGGCAGATGAGCTCTGACCAACCCTTACAGGTAATCATATTGCCTTGTGTTTTATAAGTGCTATGCTGTGAAATGTTGTGGCCACAACTTTCCTGCATTATGGTCATCCCATCTGACTTGTCCCTTGGTTTCTTGTTTTGTCTTAGGTCCCATCATGGGGAGTCACCATCCTTTCGTAACTGCTGATATCTGTCCTTCCTGTCCCGACTGTTCTTTTGCCAGCAATTCTCATCTTTGTCTTTTACATGCAACATTCTCTACATAACAATTGTCTACTCCTAGAACTCACTTCTGGTCCTTAGTATGTCACTATTGCCTATTTCTTTTCGCTCACACCGTGTCTTTCCTACTTGCACACCCAACCGCCTTATGTCAAAGAAAATCTTCAACTCTCACGATATTTCTTTCACACTCTCACACTCCAGGGGCCTGATTTCCATGTCACCAATAAACTGACCGACCGTTCACTCAACATCCCCAGATCAATCTCGGTCTCCTATCTCACTTCCCGCAAATTACACAAACTCTTTTAGCAACCGTTTACCGCATATATTTTACTAGTCCACCATGGGTATTTTCAAGTTTTGGAACCAACTGGCATGGTCTTTTAAAGGTCTTTTAAAGGGCAAATTGTTAGGGAACGCTAAAAACTCCCTCATCATTCAACCTGTCTCAATTATATACTATGTATCTTTTCACCCTTTTCAGGTTCCTTTTGACTTGTCCATCTTTTTAAATTGTCCCTGATTTCTTCTACTGCAGTGTGTATTTGTATTTCAGGTCAAATAATTGTGTTTCAGTCCTTGTACCATAATTTTTTTAAACGTACCAACCCTATGTCCATCCTATTTTTTGTTTTGATCATTGTGTATACGTTTGTCAAACGCTATCATGCGCACCTCTTTGATTCTCATTGTACACCTCGGTATTTGTAACCCTTTCCTGTTTTTGTAAAAGCTTTTGGGGACAAAAGCTCCACGACGCATAGGGGTATTATTACAGTGCATATATTTCTTCATACATTTATATATTTTTCAAAAATTATTCATAACAAAGAAAATCCGTATACGTGCAAGTCGCAGTGCATAGTGTATCTTGTTTATAGGCCCGCATGGCAAGCGCAGTAAAAGGCAATTAGCAAACTAATTAATCAAAAATGAAGTTATTGAGCTGTGTCGGCTCCGGCCTTTCTTCTCGGGTACATCTCTTGGTGAAGCACAGATAAGTAGTCCCATCCCAGTAGGAGCATGTCTACCACCAACTTAGTCGTAATCGAAAATCAACTTTTGTTGAACAAGATCGAGATTACCATCATGCTATCCTCTTTGTCCTGTCGTAAATGCCATGGTCAAGCGCTGACAGATATTTTGTTAAGCAGCTGGCGCAAGCTGACCGTGGCTACACCATAAATAAAATCAAACCTTGTTAGGTAATCATCTTCTTACCACCTACCTTGTGTAGTATACTTTGTCAGCATAGGGTAGATAACGCATATGGAAACTTCAACGTTATAGAAACTTGATAATGACAAACGAGCAGAGCTGTGGGGTATAAAATCCTGGGTTCTTCGATCTCAGGCACACTTGCTTGAATAAACCCTGGATCTCACAGCTCTGCCTCCTTTCTTGTTTCAAGGCAAGAAACATTTAAACTTTATTCTTGTTTATGTTTCACTTGTTATTTCTTTGTAATTATCGTCTAGAAAATGTTAGAGTTAGGTTTGAAACATTCCTACGATATTGTAGCACTTTAAATACCTATCATTATAAATGCTAGTTCTAGATAACCGATAATTCTTAAGCACTATCCAGGGATATTTATTTATGCACATTGCGTCGTGGGCTCCTCAAGTTTATGTTTTTCATGTACAAACGAATATTTCTTTTCTATGTTTCGACACACATGTGTGTATTCCCAGTCGTTGTCTAGTTTCATTCATGTTTGCGTGTTAGATCTGTATATGCAGGTTAGATTCTCGTTCAGTAGCCTAGATTCTAGTAGCTTAGTCACAAACAGTTCCGAGAGTTTATACAATCATTTCCAGCAAAGACGAAGTTTTATGTATTTTACTATAGTACGCCGATCAAATGATATTCGTGTAGATTTACCTCAGAAACACGCTCACATGATAGGCATAACAGCCAACATTTGTGTTTTGATATTTCACCAACACTATAGGAATTTGAATAATGATGTATTAAACGTTCCGTTCCGCGTGCAGTTGTATACCGTACAGAACAGTTTATACGCGAATAACATTACCGTAATCAGTAGAAAATGGTATTGTGTACTCTTCATATTACCAGAAAATATACATTCAAATCAGTGTAGTTTGCAAGTACAGTCTTCATTTCGTATTTATTTAAAAAAATACGCGTAGCCAATGACAACAGCGCCGTCCTAGTACATTATTACATATTCATTGAACTAAGTTACTGTCTTGTTTTGTAACGCACAAAAATGTAGCACTACACCATTACATATATTCTAGGTCATGGCTTAACTCCGTATATGACGAAATTGCACGTTGCCAATAGCAACCCCACCGTCGAAATACACTTACCGTAATAACCAAAATAATTCATGAAAAAAACAAGCTTAAGTAGTAGTACTCTAACTTAAACTAGGCCTTCTGTCTCCGTATTTACAACACTTTTATATCTCTCTAATATCACTTACCGTATCTACTGAAATTATTGTATTCAGAAAATAAATGTTAACATTCGAGTTAGAACGCGTACAGTCAATACCGGAGTTAAATGGTATATGTCAAATCTGAGCACTTCGCGCCGTTTACCGTATTTGCTCAAGGCATATATGCTGATAACGGAAATGTACTTACACTAGTCATAAATAGTTACCGTAGTTATGCATTAAGCGCGACATACCGTAATAGTCGTAAATTCCTACCGTAGTCAATACATTAAGCGCAACATACCGTAATAATCATAAATTCCTACCGTAGTTAACGCAATAAGCACTACATATCGTAATTGTCATAAATCGGTACCATAGTTAACGCATTAGGCGCGACATAACGTAATAGTCATAAATCCGCACAACAGTTAATGAACTAGGCACTACATGCTGTAATTAAACTGTTGGGCGCTCCACTCAGTACTTGTTCCTTGCAATTGTTGTTGTTAATGATTAATTTATCCGTCAGGTCATGTTATTTATCAGTACCGTAGTTACTCAAGGAAATGTTGTATTATTTGTATTATGTTTATGTAAGCAGTTACCGTACATACCCTGTTGTACCACACATTGCTTGTATTACCTGACTTAGATATGAACTGTATTAGGATATCATTGATTACTATTTCTATTATTGTAAGTCATTATTATGTATGAACTGATGTATATTGAATGTCATGCAAGGACACTTGCTTGAATAAACTCAGGATCTCACAGCTCTGCCTCCTTTCTTGTTTCAAGGTTTCAAGGCTTGCTCCCTATAGCTAATTCCTCCCCAAATCGAGGCCTGACAGCACCTTTAGCACACCTAGCACTAAAGGTCGTCCTAACAGACCGAAAAGCTGTCTTAATCAATATTAATGATTTATGCTGGGTTGCCTCATGGTACATTATCAGGGAGGTGTTGCCTGGTAATATTAATGATGTATGCTGGTGGCCTCATGGTACATTATCAGGGAGCAGAACACTAGTTCTAATTCGTGCACATGACGACGCGGTACTTCAATGATGCTAAAGGCAATACAACACGTCCTTTATGTACAAGTGAGGTGAGGTGAAGAAGCTACAGATGGGGCGGGACATGACCTCTCCTTTCATTGGCATCTCAGGGTCAGCACTGCCTTTCTATGTTTTCCTCATACCATTGTTCACGGCTGTTTTACGCCCTATGAAATCTGTTTTGTCGGACTGTCGAAACTGATTATTACCCTGCGTTGGCGGTCTATATTTAACTAATCGAAGTCCGATTTCACAGTAATAGATTTCACATTGTTTCATCATGATTATTGTGATTAATCATACAATAATTTCGACTATTCTAGTTTGCGAATCACACTAATATGATTATTTCCATGTGCAGATACCATTGCTTCAAATTCTGTTTTCGTGATTAAACAGATTAGGTGAAGAAATAAGTCTGATGCAAATCCGAAGAAGGTTCTTGGAATGAAACTATGCATGGATATCTCGATGTCTCACATGAACAATATGTAGATAATGTGAACGTAACTGTGCCTGTGAATGGAACATGATGGTTGAACCGGTGTCAACACAACCACATGGGATAAAGAGATTAACTGGTGGGTTTTCAGTCGCCATAGCAGAGAGTTGTCTCCCTCAGCAGTTTAGCTGAGCCTGAACCCGGTGTAGCACACGGTTAGTGTCAGTCATTAACGGAACACTGAACAGTTCTTGTTGTCAGTTTCTTATTACAGATTTCATCAAGCATATCGAAGCAGTCACGCATCAACTGCAGCTCTCTCGTCAGAAGGTATTTAAGAAAACCAGTAGACCTACCTCCACCTCTGCGGTTGTACTTGGGCCTGTAGTAGCTGTAGTATCTCTCTAGAAAATTGAATATTTAAAGTTTGTGTTTCCATCAGGTTTATTTCACAAATGTGAATAATTTCATCAAATGTCATTGTAACAATCTCGTCATAACCAAGAATCAACAAACATACCACAATGTAGGTATCACATCGGACAATATATTGGATCAACTTAAATAACCGAGTAATCAACAAACATACCACAATGTAGGTATCACATCGGACAATATATTGGATCAACTTAAATAACCGAGTAATCAACAAACATACCACAATGTAGGTATCACATCGGACAATATATTGGATCAACTTAAATAACCGAGTAATCAACAAACATACCACAATGTAAGTATCACATCGGACAATATATTGGATCAACTTAAATAACCGAGTAATCAACAAACATACCACAATGTAGGTATCACATCGGACAATATATTGGATCAACTTAAATAACCGAGTAATCAACAAACATACCACAATGTAGGTATCACATCGGACAATATATTGGATCAACTTAAATAACCGAGATGAGTTGAATCTCACACCTACAAGAACAGATATAGCTTATTGATGGAAAAATGTACGTTCTAGCAACATGGACTGAAGAGTGATGTGTGTATATAACGTCGATATATACTGACCAGCAGTAGGCCCGCGAAACAACGAACTGTCGTATTCAATCAGTGCCGTTAACAAATATTGGTTGGGGGTATTAAAACATCATAATACAGATAATGTTTTCATGTTATTTAACAGTTGTTTGTGAAAATATGATTCATGTTTCACTACCTGCTTCTCCTACTTCTACCTACTTGGTTCAGGGGTGGGTAACACGACTTCCTTGAAAGAGTACAGATCTTCATCCAAGACGAGATCAGGCAAAGTTGTTCGCGGGTATGGATGACCCTGACTTACAACTAACGACGTCAGAGTTGTCACGAACCGATACTGTCAAACAGAAATAAGATGCACATTGGGGCCAATATAAGGCACAACTCAGATATACAGACTGTAGATTATACCAATGTTTGTCCGTGTACAAAATACCTTTCTTACATACATGTATGTACCTGCATGTAGGAAATAGACACAGAAACAGAAAACATTGCTAACTGATTGTTTATCCCTTTGTTAAGGTATGACGTTGATTCAATGCGACGGTCCTCGATATGCTAGCTTTAACGATTAATGTGTTACAAATACGAATCTGATTCGTCTATAATATTCAAATTCACCTCCAGAGACAATTTAAGAACTTCCTGTTTCAGGACTTCTCTTCTGTTCCTGTCCATCTCGCCAACCCTCTGTGCCAGGAGGTCCCGGATGTACAGGTATACATACATTCTCCGGAGCATACCCTCCATATTGGAGTCGTCATACAAGGGTGTTAGGGCCTCAAACTGCGACTTCAGATCCACGTTTGGGCTAGAGAGTTTCAGGTTTACAGGCCCACTGACAGACGTTCCTGTTATGTTTGTTGTCAGTGAGTATGTTGGAGATTCAAGGACGCCAGTTACAATAAGCTCTGATCCTTCAAAGAAATTTGTAAAGTTCCGTTGTGTTCCGGTGGTAATGGCGTCACTGTACCGGAAAGTGACACCGTGAAGCATGACTGAGGACACCTGGTGGTAGAAGCTCTGAATCTGCCTGGCTGGATCACCATCTGTGTAGATCCTTCTCGTAATGCCAAAGTTCTGGAGCGCCAGCTTCTTGACGAGATCCCAGTCGGCATCCTTGCCAAACGCCAGCGTGTACAAAGGGATGTCCTTCTTGTTGGCTGATCTCACATTCTGGAAGGATACTGTGGTAGTTTGGTTTCAGGAACAGGGTATGTGCTAAAATGGTCAAATTACAGATGATTTTGATCCGAAAATCATGGCAATTTTTAAATGAAAAACAGCAAATCATCGAACCAACATCAATATATCTTAAAGAATATGGCAATTCAAATATTCAACCCATGCTTGTCTTTAGAGGCGACCAGCTAGAACGGGTGGTAAATGTCGCTGACTTGTTTGATGCATGTCATTGTATCTCAAGTGCATGGATCAATGCTGATCATGTCTATCACTGGATTATCTGCTCCAGGCTTATTTATTTTCCGACCGCCGTCATTTAACTGGGATATTGCTGATTGCGGCATTACATAACATGCAAACGAATGAACTGTTATAATTATGGGGCCAAGCCGTGGATGCATCCAGGGTATAGTGGAGAGTGATCGTAACGTATACCCTGGAGATTATCGAGGATGGTACATATTGGTTTTTCTTAATATTTTAGACACTGAAAAGTGAAAACTGATCCACAGCAGTTATGACAGATCATAAAACAATAAAATCTACTCGTTAAGTTTAACACCAGTAATGAGAAAATATGCCTTGTCTGTGTTCGGGAAACTGTGTTAAAATGTTCTAAATATTCATTTCAGAAACATTTGCAGTCATGCAAGTTCTTCCCATGTGTAGAGTGCTATCATCCACTTCCCTTCACATCAGCTGTACCTGCAAGATGGTGTTGGGTGCATGCTCTCCTAAAGTTGCTCTTCCATCAGTAAGAAATATAATGAGAGCTCCCTCAGATGACCTCTGTCTTTCGCTCAGATATTCCAGGCCGGATACAAGAGACTCCTTGATATTCGTCCCTGAACATGATTAAACAGTTACAAACTCAGTTCACATTCAGTCCTCCTATATGCTTGGAGAGGGTTTACGAACAAGCCCTGCCCCATGAAATACAATAGTCAGATTAATTCTTGTAACATTGTTAGATTCATGTACACATGCACTTGGAGGGACAAGTCATAGGTGGGGATATCAAGTACTGTTCACAGGAATATAAATTTATGAAATATATGAGATATAATGACTTCTGTAAATCAGACTAGTTTGAATAGCATATGCACAACTTACAGCCTGCAGATTTGAGTGAATCAATATGCTTGACAGCAAGTTCGGCATCTTTTGCTTCCGCCATGTCCGACTGCCAGTATCGGACTCGAGAGCTGAATGAGATGATGTTAAACTTGTCGTCTGCTCTGAGATCTCTGAGGATGACCTTCATGGCGGCCTTGAGTTGGTCCATCTTCCCGTTGTACATAGATGTGCTCGTGTCCAGGATAAACAGGATGTCTTTGGGGATGGGGTTAGGAACGGCGGGAGCAAAAAAGTGAATGAAATAGCCATTCGAGACCTAGATGAAACACACAGAAATCCATGTATGATACACATATCTCAAACAAAATAACAAACAACCCTGGTTTAGTGTCTTAAGTGTGTTGCAAATAAACATATAAACTACGGGCCAATGGATAAGGGCAGGTGCTGAAAATGTAGATTCTCTGTATCATATATAACGTAAGCTATGTTGAAGCCGTTCCTTGATTATTGCAGACACCCATATTCCCATATTATATGCATCAATGGCTACCAAGCTCACCAGGAGATCGCCAGCATCAAAGCCCCTGTCCACATCATACATCACCGAGAAGACCCCAGAGATTCCTTCTGCCCACCGAGTCAACTGCTGTTCCAGGGTCGGGTGGAAGCGAATGTAGGCTGAGTTGGGGGTGGGTCTCTGTATGACAGCCATGTTGTTGTTTTCTAGTATCAACAACACATATACACCATATATCAGTCAATGTCTCCTCAGGCACAGTGTAAAATACATGTATGTCTGGAGGATGTGCTACAGAAATGATTCGCATCTGGGATATCAACAAAGCATTTTGCTTGCTTTCAAAAATCTGTTCAATGAGTTTCTCAAAAGTATTTTCTAGTTTAAAAATGAGTTCCTACCCGTGATGTCTACATCCGTTATGCTGTTGCCAGATATTGGCGGGACTTTGAGTGTTGTGATGTCACGTGTGTCCTGTATAGCGACGTCGATCTTCATGTCCGGAACAGGCTGACCAGGGTCGATGTAGATGGAGTGTGTGTAGACACCGTCACGTCGTTGTAACACCTCCTCATACGTCAGGTTGAAGGTTAGGTAGGCTTTCCCAGGAACATTGACGATTAACCTGAACTTGTTCGTCTCATGGACACTGAATTTCAAAACAGATGTATTTTTGACGTATGTCAATTTGCATACCTTGTCTTTGGTGCAGTTATTTGCAAACGTGATGAGTCAAAATGACAGTCACTGTTTCAAACCTTAGTGATCATGACATTGCTGTAAGTTCATCAAGGAGAAAAAGCGTGGGCTCTGTGTGTCCTCTCAGATAACTGTAATGATGTCAAATAGTTCTCGTGTACCTGGCATTTCGTTTAACCATGAATCATACTGTGTGCGTATACTTGCATATAGTGCTTATCATTCTATCAAATATCTCAAAAGAACGTTTTATAGTAGATGACTGGAAACTTCTTTGAGTGTACCTGTGAAGATGTATTATGACATATGTCGGTGGTTGATAACAGGAAGGACCACTGACTGTTCCTCAAGTGTCACCAAGTCATGATATGTACCATGTGTACTGCACATGTAACTATGACGTTTGAAGACGGAACATGACGTGCGTTTGACAAACCTATGAGTATCTCCATACCATCATACACCAAATAAGCCATTTAAACCATGAGGTATGAAGATGGAACATGACGTACGTTTGTCAAAACTGTGAATACCTCCATACCATTATACATCATATGTGCTGTAAATTTAAACCATGGGGTATGAAGATGGAACATGACCTACGTTCGTCAAACCTGTGAATACCTCCATACCATTATACACCAAATGAGCTGTACATTTAGCCATGACGTATGAAGATGGAACATGACGTACCTCTTGCTCACGTGTCCGGCAGCTTTGCCCTGTGCTGTTGATGTTTTATACTGCTTTTCCGCTGTTTCCTTTTCGAGGATTGAGCTGTTGTACTGCAGACCATTGGATTTACTGAATCAAAAAGACATGCCTTTGTAGGATCACTACGTATTTTCTATTGATCTAAACACTCGTCTATCACCAGAACACTACAAAATTCACCTCCATTCGACATGAAACTGTAATGCACATTTCAACTGGGAGGTTACTGATCAAATGATCTGTAACGTGAACCCCCCAAAAGTATTAAAGCATGTCGCGATGATAACGTTCAATTTAAGGAGTCAATATTGCACAACTTCTTAAGAATTGCTGAGTGTGGCGAAAAACTAAGCTCACTCACTCCGTTTCTGTATCTATTTAAGGACTAAATACGCCTGTACTCAATACGCCTGTACTCACAAGAAGAAGCCGCTGATGAATGCCGAGTTTGGCAGCTTCACATCAACAGCGACTTCGGTGGAGCTGTCTGCTGTGTTGGAGATTCCACCTGTGACCAATGTCTTTGCGAAGCGGTACCGTATGTCCGTTATCACATGCAGAAACTTGAACTCTTCGATCTATAATGCATTTGATGGCATATATACGAAAGATAATCTATCTAACTGTAGAACTGGACAAAAAGAAATATAGGTTATCGCGCGAGTGTGTTTTGGGATGGTTAATATCCTGCATTAGGAATAATCATTGTATTTAGCGAGCCTTGGCGAGCTAAATACATAGTGTTATTCCTAATGCAGGATATTAACCATCAAAACTACACGAGAGTGTGATAACCTATTTATCATACAATGTCATTTTTGCTTTATAATTTAAAAAAATGCTATTTGAAACGCTACAAATCATGAAACTAAACTTTGTGGAATGTATATGACGTCACAAATATGTGCGGAGAAATACACTACGTCACAAGCCCGGTGACATAAATTTTCTCCTGATCACGCAGTTGACTGCGGTAGGTCATCTAGTTCCCAGTAAGCTTTATGCTAAAGCACGTATTGTTGTCAACAAACCTTAGCTTACGTTTGAAAAATAACAACAAACTCGCGTGGAACTTCAGAAACCTTCAATTAACCTTTCGAACAACAAAATACGATTTAATGTTCGCGTGACATTGTGCACCTATGCCGTTCTCTTGCTAACACTGACAGTCCGACTCGGCCGGGGAACTGATGTTGGTATCTTCGTAAGCCTATGAATTTCTATCTTCGCTTTATAATTTATTCCATCTATCATAACCAGGCATGAATTTTCTGGGATCAAAGCATTGACAGTACCGTAACAACGACCGTCAATCCGGACACGACCGCCGACGTCACTCTCCTACCCAGAGTTCCATGCGGCAAGCCAGCATAATTACCTCTGCCACAGGCCAGAAAAATGTGACGATTCGTCACATCTTGCACCGTCCATTCAATATAATGTACAGATTTCTTTTACTCTTTTATTTTTGACGAGTCTACACATCTAACTAAACATCTTTAATAGAATGGTTTAGTTTCACTGAGAAAATATCCAAAAACATGTAACACTATTTCGATTTGCGAAGCGATCCTTTGTTTACACAGGTTGTACGGCTCCACGTGCTGTCATCGAAGCCAACAGAGAGCAAACGATTCAGCCAGTTTGATATCTAAATATGTACTGTCATAGGCCTAACTGTCGCAGTTGGGAAAGAATATATACGTAGCAATGTAAAACATTATGAAGAGAGCGCCGAAAAGCTCTCATGAGTCCAGTCTCTTCTTATTATGAATATGCGCGTTTGATTAAAAAAAAGAGAAAAGTCCGGTCACGTGATATGCAAATTAGCCTGTGGCAGTGATGTTATGTTAAGTCATCGCTGTGCCGGAGTGTGCGCAGACGTTTGACGCCATGTTTGTTTACACTGTGAAAGTAGTCCCTGAAATTTGCATATGACCTCTCTAATTTGCATCGATATCCGTATATGACCCCAACGGATACCGAAAATATCCGTTGGCTTTATCCTGCCGAGAACACTATCCATTGTTTGATAAAGACTGATATCGTCAAGTAAGGTCAAGAAACACGAAGGACACTATTTCCCACAGTTACATACACTGGGAAATGAACGTCTCATCCAGCGGCATATGAAAAACAATTGACATCATCTGACTGTCAGCTTTTAAGGGGGTGTTAACATACACGAACACACAACTTTGTATTTACGTGTGTTTTATTAGTGTATAAATCTGGCCATTCTTATAGGTGTTTTGTAGCATGTGTAACAGACGTAAATGCTGTGAATGTCGGACATGGATTTTAATACCCTTGAAATCATGTATGACCAGGTTTGTAAATACATGGTAATGTGTAGATGGAGTGTTACGATATTGACTCAAATTTAACATGTATTTCAATGTTTCGGCTATAAAACTAACATCGGGTTTGTTAGCACGTCCGACCACGCTATATAAGGTACTGAGATCATAAGGTACATGAACATTAGGACTGAGCACCTACAATTTCATGGGCTGCACAGACAATAAACATGAGTGCCTTTCTTGACCTACAAGTGTTCTGTTCAAAAGGTTCATATATCGGGTCAATGGGTGAACATTTGGCACTCTGTTTTCGTTACCATTTGCTTTTTTTCTTGTCAAAAAGAACTTAGCATGTTGTGTATAGGATGATCAATGATGATTACTTGTAAGATGGATATTATTTGTACTTAGTTTACCAGTGTTTCAGTGGTCCTTTGTCACTTGTATACACGTCAACAACGGTAGATTGTTCTACCTTAAGTTGTATTGTAACTGGACTTCTGCAACCTCCCATCCCGCGAAGATCTATTATGTTTAATAGATCCAAGTTGACTCTTTTTGCATTTTAAATTCACAACAAACTATGTATTGACAGTTTCCACCTGATCATCTTGCCTTAATGCAACAAAGATCGACCAAAAGCGATATGTATGTTGGTATTCATAAAACGTTAACCGTCCCTGCTTTTATTGCACAATTGTCTGAGTTTGCTGACCGACCATTACAGCACAATTATAATTAGCTGTACTATCCAAAAACAATAATTACAGTGCTATAATGGTTTCCGGAGTAAAATGATATTGAAAAAGCGTGAACATGCACATACTTGGTATACCTGTTCTTCATTGGGATCTGGTGTCCCCCGCCGTGATATTGCTGGAATATAGCTAAAAGAGGCGTTAAACCATACTCACTCACTCACTTCATTCGGAATCCAGACATTATCCCATATGGACGGTTTCTCAAATTTCAGTTACCTATTTTGAATCATGTGTAGGGTAGAAAGTAGGGAACGTGAGTGACTAAAGGGTAGAAAGTAGGGAACGTGAGTGACTAAAGGGTAGAAAGTAGGGGGTAAAAGTGGGAGTGACTAAAGGGTAGAAAGTAGGGAACGTGAGTGACTAAAGTACTAAAGAAAGTGACTAAAGGGTAGAAAGTAGGGAACGTGGTGACTAAAGGTAGGGAACGTGGTGAGAAAGTAAAGTAGGAACGTGGTGACTAAAGTAGGGAACGTGGTGACGTGACTAAAGGGTAGAAAGTAGGGAACGTGGTGACTAAAGGGTAGAAAGTAGGGAACGTGAGTGACTAAAGTAAGTTCCATGCCTACTAATAGATAAATGAGGAGGTTCGATAGCATGTATCGTAAACAGAAGTGTCAGTATTCATAATTCAGTTAACGATCAAGTAGATATTCTGGTCGTATTTGGTATACGAGTTTTGTATGTGGATATGCATCCGTGTACATATCATATCACTAACACAAAAACTGAAGGATATAAGTGGACAAAACTGGTATCAATCTTGAATGGATAAAAGTGAGTGAGTGAGTTTAGTTTTACGCCACACTCAGCAATATTCCAGCTTTATGGCGGCGGTCTGTAAATAATCGAGTCTGGACAAGACAATCCAGTGATCAACAGCATGAGCATCGATCTGCGCAATTGGGAACGGATGACATGTGTCAACCAAGTCAGCGAGCCTGACCACCCGATCCGTTAGTCGCCTTTTACGACAAGCATAGTCGCCTTGTATGACAAGAATGGGTTGCTGAAGACCTATTCTACCCAGGATCTTCACGGGTCTTGAATGTATAACAAATGTTCCAATGTATATATGTTTAACAATATAAAGGGACGATGGGGTACGCTCGTGGTTAAAGCGTTCTCTCGTCAGGTCGAAGGTCAATGGTCGATTTGCAGCATTGTCACAACTACACTGACGCTTTAACTTTGAATATATGTAAATTTAGGGAAACAGACAAAGAACGTAATTTCTGTTGAAAAGTAGACCCAGTGATTTTGAAGATTCGGTGACTAACAACATCTGAAATGGGTCTGCAGGTGCTGGAGTCATCCTCAATAAAAAATTCACATTTCACAAATATATCAGATATAGGTTTAAATGACAGGCATATTACAGTATTTTTATAATTGCTTGTGCATCCATGTCTAGTATATCTATGTCTATGATCGAAACGCTATAATATATATCCCAGTTGATAAGTACGATAACAATGTCAAAGGTACATATAAACTTTAATGAAGGGCTCATGAGGCCATAACAAGTCGGGAGAATTTCAATTGAAAAGTCTATCACAATGACGTCACGAGTCCACAAGCGGGACAGGGGTCAAACGACCATGTCACAAGCTCACTAACGGGTATGTCCACCATCGGCATTGAGAACAGCAGTGCATCGACGACGCATAGAGCCTATCAAACGTGCAAGAAAGGCTTGTGGGGTGTCCACCAGATTCTCTCAAGTTCTGTTGCAAGGTCAAGGACGTTATCTGGCGGATGAGGAAGACGGCGTAGACGTCGATCCATCTCGTCCGAAAACATGCTCTAGCGGGGAGAGATCCGGTGAATTTGCAGGCCAAGGCAGTAAGTCAACGTTGTGGTGTTGCAAGAAATCCATAGCAACCCTTGCTGTATGAGGGCGGGCATTGTCCTTTTGGAATGTTAACCCAGGGCCATGACGTTGCAGAAAAGGAATTGCCACAGGTCGAAGAATCTGATCCCTGTAGCCCACACCAGTTAAGTTGCCCTAAACAATCACCAAAGGAGTTCTTTGGCGTGCTGTTATTCCACCCCAAATCATCACGGAACCACCACCAAAGCGATTCCTCTCCAAGACACAGGCCTGTGCATAACGTTCTCCCACGCGTCTATAGGCACGTTGACGTCCATCACTATGGGAAATGTTAAACCTGGACTCATCTGTAAAAACAACATTTCTCCACCAAAACAAGGGTCTGCGGACATGATTTCGGCACCACATTCGGCCAGCTTGTCGATGAAGTTGTGTCAGGATAGGCCGTATGGTCTAAACCCGTGATGACGTAAACGTTGTCGAACTGTGTTGGGGTGGATACGGCGAAGTCCTGGGATGGTTCGGGCTGTCATCACTGCAGTCTGAAACCTGTGGCGCAGATGGGTCACCCTTATCCATCTGTCCTGTCTTGTCATTGTTACACCTGGACGTCCAGAACGTGGCCGATCGATGACGTCAATTTGTGTTCTGGTAGTGTCTCACCAGTGCAGAAATGGTGTTCCGGTGGCAGTGGAAATGTGCAGCCACTTGTCGTTAAGACATTCCCCCACGGACCATCCCAATGGCCTCATGACGTACGTTGTGCAGACGTGAGCCTTGGCATGCTATGCGTTTCAATAGCCGTTTAATTTTTTGAACGATCGCAAGGGCAGGGGTTGAGCTTTCCAAAGTGACAGTTTTGTGTGGCATTCATTTGCTCTGTTTCTCTTTCCCGGAATGCACGTGCAACAACGTATTGCACGTCTCAAGGACGAACCCACTGACGTCACAGAACGTGGCACGTGCATGCATGTTGGATACATGTCACTAATCTCTGAGTTTAATTCTTATGTGTCTACACAGGTTTGATAAATTTAGATTTTAAATTTTTGTATGCACAGTTTCTTTATGTGCCTAGTATATTATTGTGGCTGTATTATGTGGAGGCTGTAGCCCAACAGGCTCATCCACACACATGGCAATGTGGAGATGCTTGGGGCCAAGACGGTGGCGGACACCAAGTGGACATTTCCACGACGGAAGAGATAAGATGGCCGACGTAAATACAACCTAGCTAGCTTCCATAATCCTAGGACATATATGCCGTGGTACACTGTGCCATTCCCTACTACACACTTCTAAAAATAGAAACGCATGGCATGGCAATAGTCTCAAGTTCTGATCTCCTGTCACAAGACACGAGGGGAGGGGACGCTCCGATCATTAACGGCTGTGAACACTGCTGTGTGTACACCTCCTGGGCATAGACTGAATAAGTCGACCGAAGCTGTAGCGTGGAATTCTCCTCCATATTTCCTGAAACACTTTGCTAGTTGTGCATGTGGCGTGCATGTCTTTCGAGTTCATCCCACAGATGCTCTGTCGGGTTCAGGGTGCCGTTCCACTAACCGATCTTAGCCCTATGCTTATCGTAAACCCCTAAAATCCCAATCTTAGCGTGACGTTAAGATCGGCATACCGTTCCACTAACCAATCTTACCTAAGTCAATCGTAAAGTTAAGATTCAAAGTCTACGTTGCTCATGACCAACTTAGGATAGCTAAAATCAATTGTAGAGAAACCAAAATGGTGGCTTTCCTATTCTATGTGAAAAATAAGAGCCATGACATGAATTTGTATATTTCTGTGCTGTAAACACACAGTATAGTGAAGCCTTACAAATGTCAGGCCAGTCTGACCACTGTCGTCATGGGAACACAACCGAGCGAGTCGGTGTAACACATTTGTACAACAATATTGCAACGTTATGGTTAAGAATAGGGACAGCCGTGAAGTGAACAATGTTCTGAAACAAAAAGATACAAATATGTTTGATTTCACGTGCGCTTATTTGGTGGGGATTGTAAAGGCAGGCCGCGTGTTATTCAAGACCACTGACAGATTCTATAGAAAATACGTTATAGAGGATGCCTCGTCACGCCTTGTTTATTCTGTTATACAAGGTTCAGGCACACAATAAAAGCTCTGACACAATTGACATTTTTTAAGTCCAGACTTAAAACCTGTTCTCAGTATATTACTTATAATCTCGGCTGTAAATACTCTCGTGTAAATTATCTGTACATAGCGCTTTGAGCATGCCCCAGGATGTGGAATAGGCGCACTATAAATATGCATTTATTATTATTATATTATGCCTGATACCCAGCAGCGTTCACACACACTTGCACCTGAAACCAAGGTGCTCACTACCCTAATATTTTGCTCTAGGTTTTCTCTCCACGTTTACACTTGGTTGGAAAAATACCCATGAAGGCCCGGATTAGAATATTGAACTTCAATAACCCATGCCTGTCGTAAGAGGCCACTAACGGGATCGGGTGGTCAGGCTCGCTGACTTGGTTGACACATGTCATCGGTTCCCAACTGCGCAGATCGATCCTCATGCTGTTGATCACTGGATTGTCTGGTCCAGACTCGATTATTTATAGCTAAGATACATGGCGTTCACTAACATGAACGCTCATGTTAGTGAACGCTATGCATCTTAATTAGCTAGATTATTTACAGACCGCCGCGATATAGCTTGACTATTGCTGAGTGCGGCGTAAATCTAAACTCACTCACTCACTCAGTTGGTTCGTAAACTACTTCCATCATTTGCGAGACTATGCAAAGGGAAATAACTCGTGCCTCGCATTCCTCTATCTCTCGCACGAAAGAGTCTCGATCTAAGCTTGGGTCGGATCGTAAGATCGGGACCGGCTACGATCGGCCTAAGATCGGGTAGTGGAACGGGTGTAACTTTTAGCTAAGACGATTGTAAAATTGGCGTAACTTGCTAAAATTGGTCTTAGATAAGATCGGTTATTGGAACGGCACCCAGGTCTGGAGATCTGTGAGGCCATGGCAAGACATTGACGTTTGAATTGTCAAGGAATTCAATGGTGACACTGAATGTGGTGCATCGTTGTCATGTTGAATCGGTTCCATCTGTTGATCGGTTGATCTAATGATCGATTTACTGTCAGATTACCCTGAATCACCACCCAGTCAGATCTGCGTGTGTAGGAATTGACACCCCGCACCATCACGCCAACACATTTGACGACCTGGCGAACACAGTTCGATGCATAACGTTCATTTCGACGTCGGTAGACACGCTGTCTTCCATCTCAGCTTTGGAGAAGACATGAGGACTTATCGCTGAACCAGTTTCTCAGAGACCATGACTATATGATGTTCATCCATCGCATACGTTGTCGTCGATGCCAACGTCTTAATACAACGTCTCACGGACAAATGCAGGTCACACAGACGATTCCTGATTGTTTGCCCCGATACCCTTCTCAAACATGTCCATGACACGATGACGTGGTGCACGTTGACGCGCAACTGTAGATTGGGATTTGTGCTTCATGGTGATATTACGACTGGCAGCATCCAGCCTAGGCATTTTCCAACTTACTTCCAATAAGTCGACAAACGTACGACAAAACGATGACTGACATTTTATAGTTATTGTCAGTGCACGTGTTCGTGCCGTCTTATAGAAATAGCTGTATAGAGCTACTATGATTTACACTGGCGCACGACACCAGATAGCGAACATATGATTAACATAAGTCAATCCAATATTGCATTTGTATTAAATGTCTCCTGAATTAAAAACATCAACACTCCTATCATCTACTTAATCTGTCTCACAGTCCCTGCACCTCGTCACTTTCTGCAATGCTAAAGTTCTCAATGAAGCAAGTCTAGATTTCCTCAGGTTCAAGAATCTCCCTTCCTCACTGGGGCTCCTTTTTAATGCAAAAGGAATATTTTGTTTCCATAAAAATGGTATATATTCAGAGACTACGTGTTAGTTTATCATTTACTATGCGCTTGTTTTTTGGACAGTGCATTGTGCCGGTGACTACGACAGACATATCTAATAATCTTAATAGTGGTATGGAATAAACACAAACAAATTTGCGAGACTTAACGTGGAGTATTTAGTTTGGTACTCTGGGAACTATACAATCAAAGTGGTATGTGCTTGAAGATTTGTCTTTAGTGTTGCCTGAGACCAGTTGTTAGGGAAGTAGGACAAACCATTGACACGGAAATGCCAGGTGCTAGCCGAGTACTACAGCTACAGATGTAGACCTTTAATCAGTGACGCATCATCATTTGTAAAAGGTGACAATTTGTCTAAATAGTGATTTTGTGCAAAGAACGTTATCCAGAAACTCATAGTTTGATGTGATGCTTCATGGAGCACTCTGAAATATCCCAGTGACGGCAAATCAGGACCTGACGATCTAGTGATTGACATCATGAGCACCGATCTAGTCTAGCAAGGTACAATGGTATGTATCGACCCAGGTCTTCACGGGGTTAATGGATACAATAGATCTTTTCCGTTCATAATCCATTTTGCAGTTAATGGTTATGTTTCCGGGAAATGTATGATTTAAGTCAATTTAAAGTAAACAGACACTCGGTACAATTTCTTTACTTATTGATAGGATAGATGGACTCAGACAGCAATTAGACAAGCTGGGCACAGATTTTGTTTGTCAAAGTGACCCACTCAACCACCTTTTACATCATGAGGTAGATATTAAGTTCTTTGTGAACAAACTGTGTTTTTTTAGGATAACGTTAGTGAACCTATATATAGTTTGTGTTTTCGTTGCATAAGTTTCACAATTATTTGCATAAACAATAATTTACAAATATATAGGTTTGTAATGAAGTGTCCTAAATAACTAAAAGTACAGTAAACTTGTGATAAACATAAAGATCCTATTTCTATCGTGTTGTTAGGACATGTTTTATGTAACCTGACTTAATTGACCAATAACAAACGTTCATATTGACGAAATTAGGTTGAACATAACATAATTAACATAAGTAATTATTTATAACGCAAGGTTTAAATACATAATTAAACAATACTGCATTACCTTCTCTGATTCCGCCACAGTGATGGTGGGTAGAAGTAGAAGAAACGCCGTGATCCACATGTCTGTTCTGGACATCCCCCACACCTTGACGCACCTGTCTCAGGAGCACCCTGCACGTGTGGTAACCTTGTGAATGCTCGATATAATACCGCCTGGACAAGATGTAAGTCATGTGTGATGGGACTGACACATCTCGAGTGGACTGCTTCCTCTGAACTGAAGTGGCGCTTCGCTGTGTTGACATTAGAGTGAGTGAGTGATCGAGTGAGGGAGCGAGCGAGCGAGTGAGGAGGGAGTGAGTGAGTGAGGGAGGGAGGGAGGGAGCGAGCGAGCAAGTTGTTTAACGCCGCACTCAGCAATATTCCAGCTACATGTAGAAGATGGCGGCGGTCTGTAATTCGAGTCTGTACCAGACAATCCAGCGATCATTAGCACGAACATTGTTCAACGTAATTGCTATACGACGATATGTGTCAACCAAGTCAGCGAGCCTGACCACCCGATCTCGTTAGTTAGTCTTTTAAGACAAGCATGGGTTGCTGGGCCTAGATTTTCGAAGCTCTCTTAGAGCTAAGATAGTCCTAAGTTAATGTTAATGTATGGCACTTACGACTATCTTAGCGCTAAGAGAACTTCAAAAATCTAGGCCCTGGAGATCAATTCTAACCCGGATCTTCACGGGTCTAGAGTGAGTGGGTGAGTCTTTTAACATGGAGGATGGGGGCAGTGGGGAAGCTTAAACAGATAATGCCATGAGTATCACGTAATTAGATACTTCAAAACCTTAGCAAAGTTTAGTAATATGACAACGGCCAGCACAAAGTCTTAAACAGAGGAACCAGTGATTGATATAACCACGCAATCACACTAGTTCCAGATAAACCACACGATAGATTTGCTAGGTTGCTCCCTACCAGTTCTAGCCTGGAGCGTCCATGGGGTCGAATTTATCAAACATTCTGACATATAAGGTTATCCATGATCTACAGGTATTATTTCTTTATTGTTCGTGTTGGAGATAGCCACCTGACATTTGGATGAATAGTGAGTTGGTCTCAAATGCAAAACATTGTTAACATATGCTGACATAATACTTATCAGACATAGTGACTGTGTTACGTGACATATGTATCTATGTATATCAAAGACCTACATATGGTATAATGCCTGGAGCTGTGGGATAGACCAGTGGTCAAAGCGCCCGCTTGTCACAACGAGGGTCCGGGTTTTGTTCCCAACATGGTACAGTACAATATCCCAACCTTATGACGTTGCTGAGTATTGCTGGAAGGCGTTAACCCATACTCTTTCACTGATTTATTTTATCAGTAAACACACTTGTCATGCACACTCGGTGAGCTTTTAAAAGGTGCAGTGAGGCTATGAAATGTTATGTATCTAATAATTTGCTTGGACGCGTCTGAGTCAATCGTCTTTGACGCCACCGTTCACTCGGTAGGCCCAACGTTAGAATCACCTCTGGGTTGTGATCTCTGGTTTGAATCCAGGTTACCGTGAATATACCTGAAGGTTTGCCAGCACCACACCCGTGCGTTTCGGTCTCAGCACACATTAGAGCGTCAAATAATATATCATTTTGGGATTTCCTAGAAATGGAGCTCATGCGCGTGACAGACGTGAAATACCGCATGGTCGCATATCAGTTGAGGTTATGAAACGTTGGGCACGAAGAGTCCTTGGATGGGAGGCCGTGTTTGACAGCCTAACTCTTGAGAGTTTCTAGAACTTCTGTCCTGCCGTACAACGAAACACCTATGTGGTCGCACCTTAGGCAAGTGAGTTTGTTCAAACTTGCCTCTGTTCACGCAGCAGAAAATGGGTACCCGGTGGGATAAGTCATGTTACTATTAACCTTTCACAGCTTGGGTTATCCGGGGTGATGATAATTAGATTGTGCTGCGCTGTGATTGTTAGCGCTATGAGCATTCACCCAGTGAACGGAGTGTAGCGCATTATTATTAAATACGGTTGAAAGAGGCGTGGAAGCAGCCATTTACACTTACTGACACCTTATCAACACCCCAATTATCATTACACAGCTGTAACAAATGTCAATGACCCAATACAGAAATTAGCTAATTACTTCATACATACACAGTGAAGGCATGTGCTGGTTTGCAGCCTTCAGCTTATTCCGTACTGGCCTGTGTCAGTAGCATGCGGACTTGCTAGGAGTGATGGACTGGAGGAGAGGCAGATGTTTCCGTTGGCGGAAGAGAGATGAGGTTAAGACAGTGATGATAACTGTGTATAAGATGATAAGTATGTACTATATTAGTCAGTCATACAGACCCTGAAACAAATGTATCCAAGAAAGCCCATGCAAGTCTAGAATATGTGGCAAGTCTACATTTCCACAGTTTCAGGAAATGATGAAAGTATCTAAGATAAGATAAGAGATAAGATAAGATGAAACTTTATTATCCCGGAGGAAATTCTTTTTGTATCAAAAACGGCCTCAAATTGAATATATACAATTTCACAAATATATACACAATAATTACATGTACAAAATGAATGCTGATGATAATAGAATGTTGATGATAATTAACCACATATGTAAAGAGGCTACGTTAGGAGGTATCGCATGCATGGTGACTATTACAAAACATTTGTTGCATTAATAACACGAATACTGGATGGTATGAGGGACTGTCGAGCTCTGTTTGTTCTAAGGGAAGGTAATCGAAAGCGGCGTCCAGATGGAGGTACATGTCGTGCAAAAAGTATTCGGACACTTGACGTAATTTCCATAGACTTGCGTGTTTCATTTAGTGTAGCATAACTAATTTTCATGAATTTGATTTTCTTGAGATACAAGTCAAATTTTGCACATTTGTGAGGAATCATCTTACCTACAATCACATAATTTCTGTTTAATTTTCCGTTTGTTATTTATCGAATGGCAACAATTTAATCAACATGTGCACAGTACCGTAAACTCCTTTAACATGGCGGCCTATGGGATTGTGCATTGTGGAACCATACGTAAGTTGATAAATGTGATGTCATTAGTTAAATAGTGGTCGGAAAATTAAACTGAAATAATGTGCGCAGAGCAGAGATGTTTTCATATTTGCCTGTAAAAATTTACAAAGATCCATCCTAAACTCACTTCATGAAAATTATTTTTGCGACACTGAAATACCATGTAAGTCTATGGAAATTACATCAAGTGTCCGAATACATTTTGCACGGGTCTGTAATTGAAAGTGGTGAGATAAAATATGGGTACTATCAAATCTAATTTTAGTTGCCTTTTTGACAACCTGGCGCTCATAAATAAAGGGAATATACTCGAAAGACACTCCAGTAAGTTTGCTGGCAGTACTAACAATTTTGAAAAGTTTGTTTTTTGTTGCGAGCAGACAGACCCCCATACCAACGTAAAATTGTAGGTCAGCACACTTTGTATAAAGGTTTGAAAAAAACCGATCATAATGGTTTTGTCAATAGAAAAGTTTCTTAAGTGGCGAAGAAAATAAAGTCGTTGTTGGCCTTTTTTTGTAAATGTGATCGATGTGTTTTGAAAACGAAAGTTTTGAGTCTAAAATAACACCGAAATATTTGTAATGGTCCACTCTTACAATTTCTGCGTTATCAATTATAAGAGGATGTAGAGGTTCCTTATTTCTCCGAAAATCAACCACCATTTCCTTAGTTTTCTTTACATTCAGAAAAAGAAAAATGTCTTCACTCCAAGATAGAATTTTTCCAATCCCTTGACAATAATTATGTTCAGAATCAGAAATTAGGCCAATAACAGCGGCGTCATCTGCGAATTTCACAGTAAACACGTCACTTAATGCCAAGTAACAGTCATTGGTGTACAAAATGAAGAGTAAGGGTGAAAGAACACAGCCCTGTGGAGCTCAAGTAGAGGTTGAGAGAAAAGACGATTGATAGCCAATAACACTGACATACTGAGTTCTATGTGCCATGAACTCTTTAACCCATTTGATAATGTTGCTATTAACGCCTAGATAAAACAGTTTTATCATCAAAAGGTTGGATGGTGTTGAAGGCAAAAGAAAAATCAATAAAGAGGATTCTTACATAGTTGTTACAATTCTCCAGATGAGAGTAAATATTTTGCAGGAGGGTTAATGTTGCGTCCTCCGTCCCACGCCCTGGTCTATATGCAAACTGTAAAGGATCTAACAAATGATATACATTATCAAGTAACAATTGTTTGATAATCCGTTCTAAACACTTCATGGCTATCGATGTCAAAGCAACTGGACGACTGTCATTATTTACGGCGGGATTATTCATTTTCGGAACAAGAATGCTATTGGAAGTTTCCAGAGAGTGGAGATTACAGCTGAACTAACTGACCATTGAAACATCTGAAATAAGACACATAGTTGCTCTCCACATTCTTTCAAATCAATACCAGGTAAGTTATCAGGGCCACAAGATTTGCCTACTTTGAGTTGTTTAAATGACAACAGAACATCACTTCTTGATATTACTAAGTCATTAGATGAGGGTAAAAATGAATACATGTTATCAATATCACTGGTAAAATCATGATTGTCAAATCTGGCATAAAACAAATAATTCAATTCATTAGCAAAAACAAGATTATTTTGAACATCAATACACTGCTGTTTTTCTATAATCCCAATTAGAGACTTAAATCCTTGCCAAGCATGTTTCAAATCGTTTGTGGTAAACACTTTTTCAATTTTAGATTTATATGTATTTTTACATTTTGCTGTTTCACATGAAATATCCCCTTGTATTTCTTTAACTTTGTGAATATTAACTCAACAAAATGCTCGTTTCTTTTCATTCAATAAAGATTTAAACTCCTTTGTGACCCACGGTTTATTATGAGGGTAAACTTTGATTGCCCTGAGAGGAATAATATTATCAACAAAAAACTTTATGTAATCTATGAATGCGTTGGCTAGCTCGTCCAGAGTATTACATGCTTCATCAAAAATATCCCAGTTAGTACACTCAAAACACCCTTTCAGCTGATCCAGTGACTCAGTGGTCCATGATTTAACCTGCTTGATAACAGGTGTTTCCGACTTCAGCTTCTGTTTGTAGGTTGGCACAAGATGAATAGCGTCATGATCTAATGTTCCGATAGGCGGTTTACGTAGGTTTTGTAAGCGTCACGAATATTGCCGTAGCAAAGATCCAATGTCTTGTCTCGCCTGGATGGACACGTCACATATTGAAAATGGTGTGGAAGTACATCTTTTAAAGAATATTTATTAAAATCACCCATAATGAAATTGGGAGCATCCGGTGAAAGAACTTGCAATTTTTCTGTAATTGTCCGAATTGAAAGAGCGGCTTTGCTTGAGTTTGCATTTGGTGGAACATATACAAGAGTTACAAATACCTGTCCAAATTCTCTTGGAAGGTAAAATGGTCTGAATGAAACTGATAACATTTCCACGTCCTTTGTGCACAAACTTTCACGCAAGACATAGTTTTTACACCATTTTTGGTTCATGTACATACACATTCCCCACCCCTTACCTTCTCCGTTATCTGAAGATCTCTGTCCATGCGAATCTAGGCTCTTTTTCATTATATTTTATGATTACAATTTAAGAACAGATTTTATTCTGTAAATTATGTTGATTTCAGAGACGACATATATATATACGTCTATATATGGTCTAGTAATATATATATAAATGGCCACTATATAGACACACGATCTACGGACGCGCGCACGCGCACACACACTACGTTTGGAGTATATAATTATTTATTCATTTCATTATGTATGATGGAAAGAAAGACATACTGTTGGTAAGAATAATTTGCTGATAATGACTGTTAAATTTTTTATGTAAACTTGTGATACGAACTCGAATGGCTCAATGCTCAGAATCTGACGAAGACTTACTGTCAGGTATGGGTAGCGTCCCCTAGTTAAAGTGCGCATGCGTGTTGCGGACGACGCGGTTTTTGGAGGCATCCGGTGGGAGTTACGAATTCAAAGACAGAAATCAGTTTGTTTTGAGTCCGTTGATCTGCTCCAAATTTTACCATAAAGCAGCCATGCCGGTAAAATTCAAGGTATCTTCGTTTCATTTATCTAGCTCTTTCTGATGTACACAACATACTATCTAAAATAAATCAGCAATGAAATTTTCGATGCATCCGTTTCAAATATTGTCAACATTGGGCAAGTCGTTACTTGTTTCCTAGGAACTTGAATACATGATATGGCAAGAGTAATTCCACGTAGTAGAACTGATGGTATATTTGTAATAGTGATGCGAGGGTCTGACTAAATAAACGACTTGTTGATGTAAATGTCTTCAATAATCACCTTGGAAAAAAGTTGTTATGTTGCAGAAATGTCATTTTCCTGATAACGTAGGGCTTGCAGTTCACATGAAGAAAACGTTCTCAAAAATATATTATGACAATTGTAGTTGTAGGTTAAATCCAAACATTTATACTTTGACTGAAGTCGACTGGCTGAAGTCTTGCTGAAGGGGTCGTACAAATATGTACCAATTTATACCAAACATAGACGTTTACAAATAATTACTGCAGGGACCATGTAATATGGTCTCTGTTAAAATCTACTGGAAAAATATGGAGGACCTTGATCGAAATGTTTTTGCACAAAGAGAGTGTAATTGTTGATTGTAAATATCGTTATTCGAAGTAAACATAGCATTAGCCATGTAAAATGTTATTAAATCTAAAACCAATGTTGATCACTCATATGGCATAATGTATGCGTAATAAGTGATGTAAGATAGAAATGTGTATTTATTTACAGGGAAAATCAGACTACAAACAAAATTTCAAATGGTTTGATTCATATCGTAGCAAGAGTTTTGTGCCAACATGTGAACAGGCAGTTCCATCAGCTGGGATGGAGACAACGAAGGCTTGTATGTTGTGATACACTCGTAGGCTTGTGATGGCGTTTTGCATGCTGCATATCCTGCATAGCCACCATGCTAAGTTGCAGATGCTAGTTGTGCAGGGATGAGAATTTTCCGCGGATCCGCTGAATTCGTGGAATTTCATAAGGCCAAGGGTCATTTTTGTGAATCGTCTAAATCCATTAGATGCTAAACCCCCAGCTAGTTTTCACTGTTTTGCTCAAAACTTCATTCTCATCCCTGGTTGTGGTTGTCTGTTTCATGTGCATGCTACCAGCTGATGCGTTCTACGTGTAGTGCTAACTAACTATAACCAACAGAGAATGAGATTGATTGCTCAGTCTTATCAGTTTGGTTGCTGTTTGAGACTGACATCAGCAAGATTCAGCATCATATAACATAGCCTGCACATTATCAAGTCTGGACTTGATAGACCATTGGTTGATATTGTGAGAAATGTCCACTCCATGTTGGTATGGCATGTGGTAAAACAAGTTACTAAATATTAAACAAGCCTCTTATCATGGTTATTGTGACTATGGGTTACTGGGGAATCCAGACCAAGGTCAACCGAGGTGGTGTGATGTATCTTGTGTTGTCAACAGTATGTTGTTTGCCAGGAAGTGTTATATGTACACAACTTACACTATTTTAATCATAGTTTTCATTTATTATGTGTGCAGTTTCTGTCTCGGTCTTAGGACTGTCTTACTCACATTTAATATTGAATGACATTTACCTTTAGTTTTAACGTTTGAATGGCCTATCGAAACATGCATATTTGCAACAGTTTGGAGCAGATTAATACAATTAATGTTTGTTATATGATCGAGAACATTAAATCTATCTTGCATTGACATATGAGTGTATTAGCCAGCTTCTGATTCTGAGAAATTCCACTACAATTCAAAATGACTGCCTCTTTCCATGTTTTGCATGACTTGTTTTTATCACAAAGGTGAAAATGCTGTTCATTATGAAAGTTTGTTTCCTTTGTTGAATGACAAACTTGCAAAAGCCCTAATTAATCCCCAAGTACAGTATATTTATATCAAACTCGTTAACTCCACCCTCAAGCATTCAGTAATTAGCAGGGTTCACATGGTTAAGGAGCTTTGTTAAACTAAAGAAAGAAAAGAAAATTGTTACATTGATCTGTGTCATGTAAATTGCAGCAGCTATATAGTGAATGTCGTAGCTGAGTTGTGTTATTGCATGTTTCTGGACTAGTTGAGACGTTTGACTTCTTGATAAACAAGTATAGGTCATTATAAATTTGGACTGGCTATTGATATAGATCACAGCTAAATATTGATCAATTATCAATAGATATCGGAGAAGTAACTAAGGCAAAAAGATCCCAAGGTCTAAAAGAGATCAGCATATTTCACAACACTGGTGAGTGATGACATGTACATTTGTATTACGGAGCCCATAAATACAGACTCAAATTTGTGTATTGTGAGAAAACATTTACATTATTTTACGTCACAATAATTTGTGCAAAAGTCACAATGATAAAGTCAGGAGTTGGTAACTTTCAGGGTGAGTCAGAATACACGGATAACTATCCCAAGTTTCAATCATACAAGAGTGCCTCCTTCGATCCCAGCCCAGAGCAGGCAGCAGCGTCAGCAGGGCTGAACACGATGAAGCAAGGTACCAGTCACAACAGCCCATTCTGGCATCTCTGCACACTTTCAGTTTCATAGTCAGATTTCACTGTTGTATCATTTCATTTTCATAGAGTCGATCTTGGGAAAGGATTTAAGAGTTCATTTTCTTGTTTGTTTTGGCATTTTACTGGTCACTGTGACATGGACTTCCATGCTTACCACTGCATCTTTATAATATGTTGTTATGTGTGTTGTTTAAGTCTTTTAACTTGTGTGATTTGCTTTTCTCTTAGCCTTTTGTAACCTAGTTTGCATTTTGTTGCTGCCTCTTAACCAAAAGGCATGACTAATATTATCTTTAAAAATCTTTATGTCCTACCTTGTCTATATATCTTCATGTCTTGGAAAACTCTGTAAACAGTAAAAATTTGCCCACAATGTGTCCTCAAAAGATTTCTCTATACTTGCCCTCATGATCATTTCTACACTTTTTGCAGATCAGAGTGGAAAGTTAGGAAAGATGCTAAATGTATTCTCAAGATGTTTCTTGTATGTTTTTACTTGATTCTAGCATGTTTATTTCTCCTCAGCTCTGCATCCTTAGTTTGTAAATATCAAATATCATTTGTCATAACCCTGGCTGACTGTTTACAATATCATTTATGTAAAGAAAACAAAATATTGATGATGATATTTATGTTCATGTGCTTGACATGTTTCATAAAGATGAAATTGTGTTACCATGGTTACATTAACAGACACATCTGGTATTCAGAACATATTTGGGGATTCAAATCCCTGTTTCCTGCTGTAGTGATTCAGTCACTGTTACCAATGTTTGTTGGATTTGTAAACATAAAAATAACTTTTACTTTGGGCTTCCATTCAGTGTCACATGGAGAAACTTTGGGATGTAATGATAGTAGCTTAATATGGATGTACTCACCCACTGATGTGTTCTAGCACTGGTTACTGAGCCACCCCTACAGAGGAGGAGGAAAGTGGCTGGCCCGCCGGTGTCCTTGTCCACTGAGTTTTATGACCCGCGTTCGTCGCAGCCGGCCAGGGATTTTGCTCTGCTCGGTCAAAATGAGAAGTTTGCCAGCAATGTTCAGTACCGACCAAAGAGTGGCAACTTTAACAACAACAATCGAGCTATGTCGCCACCAAAACAACTTCGCATGGAAAAGCAGGTAAGATACTCTGTCACTGGTCCTGTGAATATACATCATTTACATATAAGCCTACTTCCATGCTGAAAACTATGGCATTCCAGGCTCAAACCTATTTTAGTTTGTGTCAACAGAAATGTGGTCTTTTTGCTGATTGCCTGTCATCATGCCTTGATGGCATGGATTGTTACACTTCCTCATAGCCACTAGGATGCCTGGATCCAACACCATTGTTTACTTGCTGTTGATACAGCTGGAACATTGCTCACTTTGGCTATAAACAACTCCATTTACAAAATGTAAAACAGATATTTCATTGCAGTTGCTACAAGTCAGAAATCTGTAGCTAACATTTTTAAATGTCACCCAATTTCAGTGTGTAAGCTGTTTGTTGATAACTATGCACTGAGTGTTTTTCTGTGTCACATGTAACCTCTTTGTTTGCACCAGCATGATCAAATCATTGACAAAGCAAGACCTGCACCGATAGTTGACACACAGAAGTTTGTGGAGCCCCAGATGCCTCCCACTCCGCTTGCCCCACGCGGAGACCCTGGTCAGGTGGCTGTGAAGACCAAGATGGTGCAAGCACAACCAAAGAGTAAATCTGTCCCTCAGAAGACCAGTGACAACACTGCAACTCAGAAGGTCAAGGACAAGTCTGTCCAGAACCTGCCTCTGAAGCAGGCTGCAGTGAAGAGCAAGACAAAGGAGAATGAAGCACCAGTGAAGCAAGCTTTGAAGGACAAGAATCTAAGTGATGTTCTGGGGGAGATGAAGAAGAAGAAGCCTAGCATGAATGAGTTCACTCAGGCCAACACAGAGAAGGGTGTGCTTGATTCAGCCCCTGAGGCTCCTGTGAGTCTGCACTTTGAATGTTTAAGGGATTAAGCAGGGTTCAAAGATTTGAAATTCATTCCATTCAATATTCCACAATGTCGAGTTCACTAAATTGAGCTGAGGGCAAGTGAAATTACACAGATGGGAGTTCTCACTGACAAGTAGCATTTGTGGGATATGTTTCTTAACCTGTTCTCAGTGCTGTGAATTTGCTACATATTGGTACTGAATATTACTGACAGGAAATGTAAACAACAAATATGTTTGTTTTATTCAAGCTGGACTAGCTACTAACTCTGAAGACTAGAGAAATAAGCTCTACGCTAGGTCCCTGGATAATTCTTGAAAAAAAGACCATATTTCTGAGTCTGAGGGTTTATCAAGACTGAGAAAACGTATGCGTTACTAGTGACAATTGTTTTGGACTACCACTTTCACTATACGTTAGATAACTTTTGAACAGTGGTAGAATTATTTAATGTCTCAGCATGGCTGTTATCACATGTTAGCGAGTATGTGGAATCTGGATTTCATCACTGAGAGACGGGGATGTTCAGCTGAAGTTTCACCTCGACTCACCCCAATTATGACTGGGTTGGTCAGAACCTGTGCTCACATTTTTCACTTCTACTAACTGCATTATGTTGGCCTTTCCCCGTCACACATAACCAACTGAAATATCATTCAAAATGCACTAAATCAGCCCACTTAATGATACTACACTAAAACAGCTTTGAACAAGTTCTTGTGGAATTTGGAAATGATCTTCTTGTATTTATCATGTTCATGGTTTCCATGACATTGACACACTATCATAAAAACTTCAGACTTTTTCAGTTCAGTATTTTTATCAGTGATACAGATGTATATCCCATGATATTAAACTTGAATTTTCTTAGCATCATAAATTGTCCAACTAACACTTAACTGTAACACAATCACTGCATGGTGGATATCCTCTCCTTTTGACTTTGGAAAGGTGTGTGTCTTTACTGTAGGTCATGTTGTTTCAGATTTAGTTTATTTAATGTTGCTAGATAATGCATGTGTTGTCAACTTGCCCTCTTCATGTCAGTCTGTCCCCCTTGTAGGCTGAATATGCCATGAAGTACAAGGCAGGTGTCGCGCCAGCTCGGCCATCACGCAAACAGTCGGAGTACCAGCGAGAGTTTGAGTGGAAGAACAGAGTGGGCTCATCTCCAATGTTAGCTGCAGAACAGGTAATGAAGGAGTGAGGATTAGTTCAATGGATTAGCACCTGCTGTTACTGCCAATACTTTCATGTTACTACTCCTGACTGAAAGGCAGGTGGTTATCTCCCTTCAAATCACAGAATTAACAATCTGGCTGATTTTTAGAATCAAATAATTGAGCAGCAACCTTCATGGAAACACCCTAACATTTTGAAGGTGGTATATGAAGTTGATAACAAATTGCTTTATCCAGTGTTCACGGAGGGTGTTTCAAAGTAACAGGACGGACGTTAGGTCCTGTAAGTTTCAGACGTCTGTCTGACCCACTGAAAATTCACAGGCCACACAGAAGAAAAAATAACACATATTTCAGATTTAACATTTCTTGTAATTGACATTGAAATTTTAAACAAGCATAAAATTTATGAACAGCAAACAAGTGTCACATGTCACATATAACAACTTCAGTCAAAGTCAGTGTGTAAATATACAGTCAGACACTGGGGCTGATGGGTTGTAGACTTCCAAATCACCGTTGGCAAATCTGCCAAATTTGTCTGAGGGTTTGACGCTATTCATGAATACTGCAATATGCAAAATGAAAAAATAAAAGTGAGTCTCACACAATTGCCTCTGAGGAAATGGTTCAGGCAGGTACCTCCCCATTTTCATTTTTTTTTTTTTATAGCCTTGAAAGGGACTCTTAACAGGAATTGTTCTTTGATAGGTACAACAATGGTAGCTTTGACCCTTCCTTTCAATTTGAATAGCTTGTGGTGGTCACCATGGTAACTCTCCATCTGTTGTACAATTGTAAATCACAGATCTCAACTTCAGGCTATCCAGTGTATGTATACTGTGTATACTATCAAGACTACCAAAAGTATATTCATTCTTAGCAACCAGTTAAGCACCTCTGTGTGCTTTAATATCATATGCCCTTATATTTCTATGGTCACCTTTGCCATTTGCCACCTCACCACAAGCTCTCAGCAAAATGAATATTGGTCATAAGCGATGCAAAGTCTCCCTACCACTGTATCCTAGGTCACCATATGTTGGGGAGAAAGTGTGTGAACAGCTGATTGCTGATTGCTTTTTCCAGCTCTTTTTTATGGAAATAATCTCTGCACATGAAACATTGTCTGGAAGTCAGCACACATATATACCATTCAATTTGTAAATTATTATGCTCAGAAATGTTTTATTGCAAATTTCTTATTGTCATTGATCATCCCAGAGACCATACAGTAAAATGATATTTAAATTTAAGTTTAGTATATGGTCTCTGAAACCATAACATGAGATGTGCTGTAGAGTAGAGCACATGCCAAGGGAAGTAACTGCAAGCTGGATCTTGTATCTCTGTATTGCAACCCCTCACTGCCGTGGTGCTGTGTTCAAGATGTAGAATGTTTATCAGTCATTGTTTTTATTATAAAAAAGAATCGTGCAGTCGACTTTATTATAATGTCGCCATAATTAAGAAACAAAATTGTTACGTTTTTTATATAACATATGTTATATTTGGGATTACACTTTCTTAGTAAAGTACAGATTCTAGTACTTTTTTGGGTTGAGTCCCATCCGGGATTTGAACCCACACCGTCAGAGTCAGGCACCTAATCGCCGGCACACAAAGTCAGACGCCTAGGCCGCTCAGCCACCGCGGCTTCCACAAAAATGGAAGTCGGACAACTGGTAGTCTAGACTGCGGACTTTGTGTACCCTTCTGATAAGTGTTAATTGGCACGGCTCCCACGGCCGAAAGCTATGAAATACACAAGGAAGTGGACTGCTCCACTTCAGGCGCGCAAGGGCAAGGATAAAGGAAAGGGCATGCTGCTTCCTCTCAGCAGCCTTTTCAGAGGAAGGGGAAGTCGGCTGACTAACTCTATTCCTTCAGGAGTGAGAGAATGTCATATGTCGCAGTGGAAGCAAGGCCATCCTCCTGTCTCGGGGATTCGGTGCACCCCGGTGCCGACTTCTCAGGAGAAGGCGGATATACTCCCTGCCGAGGTCCAGTCGTTGCTGAAGTGTCTAAAGTGTCTGAACGACATGATTGAGGTGCCGTCTTTCAAGATGGAGACACCGCGCTCAGTGACCTCGTCTGTAGAGGCAGGGGATTGGCTCACGTCAATTGACCTCAAAGACGCATACCTCCATGTCCCGATGCACCCAGAATTCAGAAAATACCTCTGGTTTTCCTTGGACGGGAAGTGTTATCAGTTTTGTGTGCTCCCCTTCGGCATCTCCACGGCGCCAAGGGTGTTCACAAAACTCATGCTGGTGCCAGCTCAAGTCGCCAGGGCTCTGGGCAACTTTTGTTACCCATACCTGGACAACTGGCTTCTCAGAGCACTCGCCACTCACTTGAGTCAGGATTCCACACAGACAGTGATGGATACTCTCACCAAGTTGGGTTGGATTATCAACCTCAAGAAGTCAGAACTGGTTCCGACTCAGGATCTGGTTTTCTTGGGGGCGAGATTCGAGACACAGCAGGGATTAGTCCAAAGTCCAGAGGATTGTTTTACATTTCCTTCAGTCCTCAAGGGCCTCAGCTCGAACACGGCTTCAGTTGCTAGGCAACATGGCAGCCACAGTGGACATAGTTTGGCGTGCGCGTCTGAGGATGCGTCCGGTGCAGCAAGTGTTAACGCAGCTGTGGTCTCACTCGGAGAGCTACGAGACGATTCTAGTAACTCTGGTGTGGCCTATTCCTCACTTGCGGTGGTGGACCGACACCACAAATCTATCCAGAGGTATACCGCTGGAGACCCCGTGGCGGCGCTCACAATTCAGACGGACGCCTCCCTCACAGGGTTGGGGGGGTGTCCTGGGAGACCTCACAGCTTCTGGCCTTTGGTCCGAGAATGAGGCGACCCTGCACATCAATGTGCTAGAATTAAGAGCAGTCCGGTTGGTATTCGAACGCTTCGTGGAGCAGGTTCAAAACCGAGTGGTTCGTCTAGAAATGGACAACCAAACTGCGATGTCCTACATCTTGAAGCAGGGTGGTACGGTGTCTCTGTCACGCCTTCAGGTGGTACGATCAGTTCAGCATACGGGTCATGCCTGTTTATCTCCCAGGGGTAGACAACGTTCGTGCAGATGCGTTCTCACGTTGTATTCTAGCACCTCACAAGTGGTTGCTCGACTGGGAGATATTCGGGATTAGGTTGTTCCAGGTGGATCTGTTTGCCTCTGGGGTGATGAACCAGACTCCGGTGGTTTGTTCACGGATGCTGGATCCGAGAGCAATCGCCTCCGATGCCTTCCAGCTCGATTGGACGGACAGGGTTCTGTGGGCTTTCCCACCGATACCACTGATCTCCAGGGTCCTATCGCAGCTAGCCACCCAGCCAGCGCGACTGCTTGTGCTTCTTGCACCTCTGTGGTTGTCTCAGTGCTGGTTTCCGGTAATACTCAGGTCACTCGTGCAGGCACCTGTACTATTACCAATGCGGCCGGACCTTCTATCCCAGAACGGCCAGCCACACCCGGATCCCAGGATTCAGTGGGTGGCTTCGCCCCTGTCCAGAATTGCCTCCAAGCGAGCGGAATTCCTGCACCAGTTGCAGACACAATTCTGGCTTCATGGAGGGATTCTACTAACGTACAGTACGAGGATAGATGGACCCGTTACCTTGATCCATGACCCCTTTTCTTCGACTGTAGTCGAGGTGTTGGAGTTTTTACAGTCTCGGTTAGAAGCTGGCCTAGCCGCATCTTCTATCTGAGGCTACTCATCGGCTATTTCAGCCTTCCACATTCCTGCCGAGGGTGCTCTTTTTTTAGGGCAACACCCCCTGGTACAGCATTTCTAAGCAGGTGTGGACAGAGCGCGGCCGACGGACGAGTCCCCCATGGGATTTGTCCATCGTTTTAGATTTGATGTCCAGTCCTCTCTTTTACGATATGTTGCATTTGTCTCTCCAGCTTTTAAGTTGGAAGTGGCATTTTTGGTGGCGGTCACATCAGGTAGATGGGTCGGTGACATACATGCTATGTCATCGGATCCGGAACTTACCATTTTTCATAAGGATAGGCTTACCTGACTCCTACCGCCCTAAGATCACTAGCACGTTTCATGTAACGGCGCCTATTGATCTTCCCGCCTTTACGCTTCCTGCTTCATCTAGTAACACGAAACGCTGAGTTCACGTGGTAGACGTACGCAAGACACTTAAAGCGTATATCAAGAGAACAGCGTCTCTCCGCAAGGAGAAACAGAAACAGCTGTTCTGCTGCTACGGCGGTGGCAAGGCTGGTCATCCGGCTACTACACAAACCTTATCGAGATGGATTGTGTCAGCAATTTGTATGGCTTGCATACATAAAGGCCTATCTCCCCCCGAGGGGTTGAAGGCTCATTCGGTTTGAGCAGTAGCCACCTCCAAGGCGTATGCTACTGTTCTGCCCATTGAGGGGATCTGCTCCGCGGCTTATATGGAGCCTACCGAGTACGTTCATCCGCCATTACCAGTTGGACAAACACTCGCGTGAGAGTGCTCGGTTTGGCCAGACGGTTCTCCGCAGTGGACAGAGTAGCACCTCTCAAGCCGATTGAGCTTTCTAGATGATGTACTCTGTTTTGCACTTGGTGTCGGGTTTTATTCCTTCCCCTTTTTTATCGGGTGACGGTATCTGGTGGTGGCTTTTATTTATACTTTGGTTCAAATGGTGGTTTATTTCAGAAAAGTAATATAGGCCATAGGCCCAGGTTACACTTTGAGAATTACAGAGTGAGAAAGTATGTTATAATGAAGACTGTCTCAGTAACATAGCTTAGCCTGCAGACATACATTTTCTGTGTGCTTGGTCCATACTAATGACCTACTGAATAAAATACCTAGATATTTGTACCAGGAAACACTTTCTATTTGTACACCATTATAGAACCTTTTTTCATACTTGGACAGTCTTCCACCTTTTGTAAAAACTATTACCTTTGTTTTTTCCATATTTACCGTCTAACAATTCTCAGAACAAAATATCTTTAGGACATAAAGTCTTTTCTGTAAACCAAACACTGTATCAGAGATAAACACAACATCATCAGCAAATATAAGAAGAAATAACTGTACAAGTTCAGGATGAAGCTGAATTCCTGGTACACAACATGCTTCGATTTCATAAGCTAGTTTATTGATAAGAATGGAAAAAAGAAGAGGGCTTAGGATACACCCTTGTTGTAGACCCAATGGACAATCAAAACATGTTGATAAATTATTATTAAATTTGACACGCGCGATAACACTTGCATAGAGGGTTTGGATTGATTTTAGCATTTTGCTGCTTACTCCTCTTTAGCCTTAAAATATTCCACAGTTTTGCCCTATTCACGAAGTCAAAGGCTTTGGAAAAAATCTATGAAACATGCATACACTTTACCTCTCTTTTTTGGGAGATAGCGTTCAATAACGGACTGTAGGATAAAAATGTTTGCGTTTCATGCACTGTGCAGCTTGACATATTGCATTTGTAAGAAATGTTACTGCGTTATTAATATCTGAAAGAACGTTATCACTAAAGCTTTCAAGCAATCTAGATATATCAGGTGAAAGTAAATTCTCCCTGAATTAACCGACCATGTCAACATCCCACTGAAATCTAAACTTCGCACCCTCGCCACGTGCATCCTGTGTTACGTTACCATCCTCGAGTAGAGTGGCGTGTATGCCACGTGACTGAAACGTACATCGTACAGGTAGATGATCAGACTCAGACCTCGTAACAACATCGAATTCGTGACACAATGTGAATACAGAACTTGAAGTGATAATATAGCCAATGACACTTGTACCCACTGCTGAAACAAAAGTATGTTCACCAACACCTGCATCTAAACCACATGTTCCATTCATGATAATGAGATTGAAGTAATACTTTGGTATATCGGTGCCTTGCTTATACTCTGCATTTTCCCACGCTTGGCTAGCTGTGTGGTATGGACAGTAGTTTGTTTTGGCAAGTCCCCCACCTTCAACCCTTGGGTTGCGGGGTGGGGTGTGTTACTATGGGTGTGACACCGATAAGCCAATCGGCATATAGGCTATGACAGTCCGGGTCCTCGCCCTAGTCCTTATATGTACCCCATATAAGGACTTTCTTCAAAGAATTCTAACCTCTACAGGTTTGTATAAATTTTATCTTGTATAAAATGTCCCTGTTTGCAATTGTATTTCTACATGTTCTTATACTGTATAGGATGTTTGTTTAGGTGTTTTGTGTCGTTGATGATGTTGGTGTAACTGAGACTGATGCCAATGTTTGTTGTAGATTGTCTACAACAGTAAGGTGGGGCCAGTGAAGACGTCCGGCTTCCCAAAGACATCCGAGTACAAGGCCCAGTTCAAGAAGTGGAGGGCGGTGGAGAACGAGCCGGTCCCAGCCGTGAAACGAGCAGTGCAGCAGATGGCTGCCGTTAAACAGAAGGTAGGGACAGTGTTGACTGAAGGTCCAGTGATTGAAGTACCCTTCTGTGTCAGCATGTGTAGTTGGGGTGTGTGTTGGAAAATGTCAGGACAGTTGGGATATATGATATTTAAATGATGAATAGGGGGTCACACCATCGAATATTGAATAATTAATGCAATAACAAATCAGAAGTAGATGTATTATTTATGATTTTCAAGTAAAACAGTAAATAGTAACTAGATTTTTCTTGGCATGTTTTGACCGTGTTGACAGTGATAGTTAAGTAATCAGATCAGCTCTAATGTCCACTTTCTATATATATTTTTTTAAAACTGCTCTTCGTAAAGTTATAATATTACTGTGAAATCGTTCAACAGGAAGTTATTTCATTGTATTTGTTCATCAGGTTTGTGTTTGAGCAGTAGAAATAAGATGATATTTTCAAATTGTTTTTGAGTATTACCAAAACATGGTTCAGTAACAACAAATTATGAGTTCAGTGTTCAAGTGTAAATGCATTTGAGTTCACTAGCAAATGGGGGAAACTTGATGAGAAGGGTTGTGAGTTCAAGGGGAGGTAACTCTGGGAGTGCCCCTTGGCAGTGTAGCAACTGTGGGTGTGTTATGGGGGTCAAAGGAAGGGAATTTGGAATGTGTTGGCCCAGGAGAAGTATAATAATTTATATGTTATTTATGAGATGTTTTAGATTCTATTTATGTTATTTTCAGGCTCTGAAGCGGAGCAAGAGTGTTGGTGGTGAGAAGTGTTTTATAACAACTGTTATGCACATAACATGCTTGATACTTGAGAGCCAGGAGTAAGTGTCACCAGACTGTGATAGGGATGGATTGCATCCGTTCCATACCATTCAGTGATAGAGTATGGACAGCCCAGTAGTCTGAGACTGCAGAGTGGTATCTTTGAACATGTTGATAGGATGAACTGTTAATGGTGAAGGGTTCACAATTAGGATTCTTGGTTTTACTGTGGGTTTCACTAAAAACTAAACATGTAAAACCTGCATAACTTTATGTCTTCCAGCCATATCTACCTGCAACTCCACGACTGAAATAATGTTCAATGTTGCATTAAACCTGCTCATCGTGTGTACAATTACTACAAATGATCATTATTTTTGAAATTTCTGGTTACTGACATTTTGTCTTTTTCATGAATTACTTCTTTTGACAATTCTTTTGGATTTGTTGTCTATTAAATATCCTTTTATAAATTGACTGGTAATTTGTCATGTCTGTATGTGTGTTAGCATGCTTCCTTCTGCTTGTCTCATCAACAAGTACCTTTATACTAACGGTGTATTGCCATTGAGTATTATTGAACATAGTTGCTCTAGCCAGCTACACCAATGGGTAATTCACGTGCTGCTCCCCTTGTCTTTGAGTAAATGCCTATTTGAATATTTGACAGCTGTGGAGGGCCGAGGTGCTGCCCGACGTGCTTCATCTGTAGATCAAGACAGGGATGCTGGGCAGGATGAGGCAGAGGAGGATGTGACTAAGGCAGAGGTGCCTAAAGCCCAGCCTCACCATGGCAAACTCAGGTGGGGCATTGATGTAGATCATCCCAATGTAACTCATTGTTTTAACTGTCCCATTGTCCACATTGTCCTTTTGGCCATAGATGACCTGCTGTACCAACCAGAACTGTCTCTTTTCACAACTTTACAGCTCATTAGATGAAGTATGTTTGTAATTAAATCAGTGCCACTGTCTTTTAATGATTAGATGCCCAGTACACTATAGCAGTGCAGTTCATACCCGATCTCTGGTGTGACAACTTTTGTTGCTGACCAAGAAGTTATTGCATGGGGAGAACAATTTTGTCTTGTTTGACAGATTCATGTCTAAATATCCAACAAAGCCAAAGACTGAATTACACCTTTTTACCACCAAAATTTACAACAAAAATATTCTTTCAGTTTAAACTTTTTTAATTGTCTTGTCATTGTTGCAACAGAAGAGCAATAAAATACTCCTTCAAGAAATATTGAATAAAACAAAATCACCTAATTATATCCAATTCTAAGATATATTTCTCCCGATTTCTAGGAGGGTGGTCACAGAGTATGCTGCCAACTTCAAGAGCCCCCAGAAGTTCAGCTTTGACAAGGGAGCCTGGAAGGGGGCTGATCCTCCTCACTTGTATGCCCAGAAGGTTGGTTCATGGAATCGGTTGATTGTATAATCAACCTTGTTTGTCTGTCATTAATATTGTGTGCAGGCCTGTCCGATGGTTACAGGACAAGATGATGTTTATTAAATGTGGTGAAAACAACCTTCCCTCACTAGTAATATACAGGGGATGTTGTGGTGAACAACATTCATTCACTCACTCAATATTCTCGACTTGAGCAATTTAAGCCACTTACTTCCTTGTCAGCCTGAAGTCACTTGTGAAGAGCCACCACTGAAGAGCTGGTTTGCAGAGGTGTTGGAGCTGAGACGTAAGGCCAATGAGTACAAGAAGAGAGCTCAGGGCACACACTTCTCCCGGGAACACTTGGTGCAGCTCATGGCAAAACAGGCCGGCTTCTGGGACATCCCGACAGCACGTAGCAGCAGCAGTAGCACCTTGTCGGCGCTATCACTGGAGGCCGGCAACCTTGTACACAAGTAGGTACTTCGCTAAAACACATGGGGCTCATAGGAAGCTTGTACATGTGCAGTGTTGCATCCAGGCTGTGCGATTGCGGGATTCCCCTATTACCATACATCTCCCCTCTAAAAATGAAAATCGATGCACGACCTGTCACGCAATATAAATGACCACGTACCTATCATATTGTGTCAACTCACGCACCTGTGTAACGTGTGGGTCTTGTGGATGCATTTACATATCACAAATCAAAAGCATCTTTGGTAAATATATGAACAAGACTGTGAATCGTGTTGATAAACTCTTCCGTTTGGTAAACCAAACCAGTTTCATTATTCTCTCTTTCATAACAAATACCCAAATCGCTTCTTGACGATATCATTGCTGTGACGACATCAGCATTACAGTAAATACTAGTGGTGTAACGATTCATCGATAGTATCGATGTTTGCATCAAATCAACTACGCAATAATGAAAGTGCATCGATACAAAACTCATTTAGGGCAATATATCAGGATATTTATATCGCAAGGGTCCACGATACATCGATATATATCGCCACAAGAGACGATATATCCTGATACAACTTCAATACTAATTAAAGTTGTAAGGAGTGTTGCATTAGGAATAGGAAGGGAGTCTCTTTGAAATTCTTCTGAATTTTAAAAACAAATTGAACCTTTTAGGAATTTGTTTGTGTCTGTTATCTTTGTTACATGGACAAAGGAGTTGGTGTTTAAGGAAAGAGGGTGAACATTTTTCAAACTCTGTGAACTGTAGAATAATACTTGTATTTAGTAATTGAAATATGTTTTAGTTGTTTGACAAATACCACCATTTATTAACATACACCTAACGATGTCTTAGCTTTGTTAAGAAAGAGAACAAAGAGAAGATAAAATTTAGAAAGCATACTTAAGATTTTTTTTTTTTCAGTGATTCTGAATTTGATATAAATTACATTCAATTGTTTGTGAAAGCATCCGCGTAGAGAAACACATCTTCCCAAAGGAAACTTTGGTTTCAAACTTATATATGTTAGATCAAAGTATACTGAATATGTTTGACTGTACTTTAAAACATTAAATGCTGAAACTTTATTAAATGAACAGCTTTTAAGTGTGTGTGAATGCAACACAAGATCTGCTGTATAACAAATAAAGATTCAGTTATTTTATCTATCATATATGTTCTGCTATTAGAAATTGTAGCATCGGATAATGATCATAAGAACCCCACCCTGCTATCAGCTGATCGCCACCATTTATCGTGATGATAATCGTCCTCGCCTCCTTGCCAGGTTCCTTTGCCAATACTTTCATGATATATCGCCTCACTTAATTAAACTGGTATCGGGATATATCGCCTCACCACTTAGACCACAATACACAGCTCTAGTAAGTACCTATCGTCAGTCAATATGTGATACCCCCTTCTTGGTGTCAGGTCCCCCTCTTTTGTAACAGTTAAGGGGGATGTCCCCCTTAATCCCAAATTCCTGGATGCAGCACTGCATGTGTGGGTACATGTCCAGACACTGGACACACCAACCTTGTGCTAAAGTGTAAATTGAGACACACTAGGTTCAAAGCAACTTTGTACATAAGTAGGTATGTCTCAAACATCCAGCGTGCTAAAATCTAAGACAAAATCAAACTGCATCATTATGGATGACTGGAATTGCATCCAACATCCTCTTTATAGGTTTTTTGGCCATCAAACAATTAGACCAGAGAAGTGGTTGAAAACAAGTTGTTTTTTGTTTTTGAGAAGATATCTTGTTGGATGGACCTTTCCTGACCAAAGCGTTTCCTTAAACTGCGGTAATGCACATAATATCAAACAAATATTCTTGAAAAGGTAGTACTTAGATGGTATGTAAGTCAGAGAAAATACTTTTTGGTTTTGATTTTTATCATACACTGTAGGGGTTGAAAAGGTGAATTTCCTCCAAAGCATTTTTTTTAACCGTATTTTTATTTCAAGACATCTTTTTACTCAGCTCCAATTCAACTGATGAAAAGAATCATCAGAACATTGACAGTGAATGATGCTATGAGTTATCAGCTTACTTTGGTCCACTCAGGACAGGTACAGTTTCATGTTGTTGTTTTTCCGCTGAGCCTGTGCAGAGAGTGAAGGACACTGTTTCTGATATAGAAAATGTCAGGACCTTTTGTCAATCTCATATCTCAGCAGACATTTAACACAGGTATTTTGACAACTGTCATGAGAAATATTTGCGTGTGTTTTTGTTGCAGAACAAAGAAACAAATAAGATCAAAGAAAGAGTCCGAGAAGAATCTTGTAGACTTTGAGTCCTGCAAAGCCACCATTGCCGACTCTGAGACGCCATCAGAGCTGGAGGATGGTATATTTGAGGAAAGGCAGGCAGCTGGGAAGAAGAACCGGAAGATGGCTTGGAGTGATGAGAACATGGAACAAAATCAGTAAGTTGTATGCCGTTGTGGTCATTTGAAGACCAATATTGTCAGACATATACATTGCTAGCAATAACACAAAGCAGAATATGTAACAGCATGAAAATGGCAGATTACATGACAAACCTATAACTTTCAAGGTCAGCTGTATATATCATACCTGACACAAGTTCAGAATATTTCACTGTACCTGCGAGAGTTAACTTGGACCTGTTAAAAACTTAACTTCATGAGATTTTTCTGTGTTTTGAAAGAAATCAATGAAAGAACTTAGTGGGAGCTGGAACTGAAGAGGTGTTTTTGCCCATTGTTATTAAACAATGCAAAATGTGACTGGAGTTAAATAGTCTGGATATTTGGTTTCAACAAGGTTTGCGATTTTACAGTCTCTATGCTGTAGTCCCACATATGAGAACTAGATGTTTACTTGTGAAGACTATAGCTAATTGAAACTTGTACAAGTGGACAACTTGGATAAAGTTGATAAAGTTCCCTGATGATGTGCATGACATTGTAGAGTGGAAGAGGATGCAGTAGAGAGTGTCATCTCCCCGTCGGCATCTTATGACACTCCCCAAGGCAGGATTCCCACCCCACAGTGGAGACATCCTGGTAAGACTTCAAAGAAGACCAGGCACCATCTTGACCGCACCACTCCAGCTGTCGGGGGTGCCATCCTCACCTCTCCCCCTCATCCAGTCACCCAGTCAAGGTCATCAAGATCAGGTAACTGCAATAGTTGACACAAGAAACAATGAAGGGCTTTGTCAAGACATAACATTTGACTGACCCACCATAAATCTGAACAGCAGTTTGCCATGTTAAAATTAACTGTACATCAATTATCCAGTGCTATATGGATGAATGGTGTGGTGTCTATGTATTATGTGTGATATAATACGTAGTGGTGTGTGGTCCTGTACATAGAGCCTTGTCACTAATCTGTTGAAGTTAAGCAACATTGGTTGTGGACAGTCCATAGATGAGTGACCCTGTTTGGCAGCTTGACCCCTGAGAGTTTCTAGGACTGCCCCACACAGAAGCACACGTAACACATGTGGTCTCACCTTTAGGCTAGTGAGTTTGTTCAAATTTGCCTCAGTTCACCCAGCGGTGAATGGGTACCCGTGGGTAAGTCATATGACTTCTAGCCACACAGGTAGCTTGGGATATAATGTGTTAGCATCGCTGAGTATGCTAAGTGTGTGGAAACAAGCCGCCATAAATAGCCATTATTATTTCATTATGCCATGCACCCATTTACCACCACAGGCAAAATGATATTACTGTTACTTATTTAGCACATGTCTGGTAGTCAAGGAAGTTGACTAATCAATATGATTAGTAAATTGACAAAAAGACGGTGTGATTGAATTGACTCACACAGTAAGATTATTGTGACTACTCCATGACCTGTGCTGACTGAATTGACTCACACAGTAAGATTATTGTGACTACTCCATGACCTGTGCTGACTGAATTGACTCACACAGTAAGATTATTGTGACTACTCCATGACCTGTGCTGACTGAATTGACTCACACAGTAGGATTATTGTGACCACTCCATGACCTGTGCTGACTGAATTGACTCACACAGTAAGATTATTGTGACTACTCCATGACCTGTGCTGACTGATTTGACTCACACAGTAAGAGTATTGTGACTACTCCATGAACTGTGCTGACTGAATTGACTCCCACACAGTAAGATTATTGTGACTACTCCATGGCCTGTGCCGACTGAATTGACTCACACAGTAAGATTATTGTGACTACTCCATGACCTGTGCTGACTGAATTGACCCACACAGTAAGATTATTGTGACTACTCCATGAGCTGTGCTGACTGAGTTGACCCAAGCATTGTAAGAGTATTGTGACTACTCCATGACCTGTGCTGACTGAATTGACCCACACAGTAAGATTATTGTGACTACTCCATGACCTGTGCTGACTGAATTGACTCACACAGTAAGATTATTGTGACTACTCCATGACCTGTGCTGACTGAGTTGACCCACACAGTAAGATTATTGTGACTACTCCATGACCTGTGCTGACTGAATTGACTCACAAAGTAAGATTATTGTGACTACTCCATGGCCTGTGCTGACTGAATTGACTCACACAGTAAGATTATTGTGACTACTCCATGACCTGTGCTTGACTGAGTTGACCCACACAGTAAGATTATTGTGACTACTCCATGACCTGTGCTGACTGAATTGACTCACAAAGTAAGATTATTGTGACTACTCCATGACCTGTGCTGACTGAGTTGACCCACACAGTAAGATTATTGTGACTACTCCATGACCTGTGCTGACTGAATTGACTCACACAGTAAGATTATTGTGACTACTCCATGACCTGTGCTGACTGAATTGACTCACACAGTAAGAGTATTGTGACTACTCCATGACCTGTGCTGACTGAATTGACTCACACAGTAAGATTATTGTGACTACTCCATGACCTGTGCTGACTGAATTGACTCACACAGTAAGATTATTGTGACTACTCCATGACCTGTGCTGACTGAATTGACTCACACAGTAAGATTATTGTGACTACTCCATGACCTGTGCTGACTGAATTGACTCATACAGTAAGAGTATTGTGACTACTCCATGACCTGTGCTGACTGAATTGACTAACACAGTAGGATTATTGTGACTACTCCATGACCTGTGCTGACTGAATTGACTCACACAGTAAGATTATTGTGACTACTCCATGACCTGTGCTGACTGAATTGACTCACACAGTAAGATTATTGTGACTACTCCATGACCTGTGCTGACTGATTTGACTCACACAGTAAGATTATTGTGACTACTCCATGACCTGTGCTGACTGAATTGACTCATACAGTAAGAGTATTGTGACTACTCTATGACCTGTGCTGACTGAATTTACTCACAGTGTTTTGCACCCCTTGAGCAGGCAGCAGTCAGGACACCTTGGAGGATGAATCTGAGAGAAAACAGTTTGGAAAGGTCAGTTTTTGCACATCCTTATCTTGTTTCATGCACATCTTATTTTTAAGGACCAGAAAAATCACCTAATTTATGGAGTGAACTGTTTCTGGAACATACCATTCAAATTTCTTCATTCAAGGTCGTTCTGGTTTCTACTTGTTTTTGGTTCAATGAAAGTAGATTTGCTAATACAGTAAGCAGGATAAATGATATACCCTGAGAGTTCATCAGAGATAGAGGACTAAAGTCAATGTTTCCTTCAGACATATAATCTGAACCGACTGCTGACAACCCCCACGTTCGGCCAGCCATCACACGACACACACATGTTGAGAGATGATGACGCCTCCGTGGACCAGCCGCTGAAGACCACCTATGTGTATACCCCAGCAGAGGATCTGTCTGACCCGGAACAGCAGGTTGTGGAAGGTTGGAACACATTACTTGATATCTTCTACTGATGCTTCAGCCAATAGTTAACCTTCTCTGTGATGGAACCCCACTGAACATTTTCATGAGTGCTTTGGGAAATTCAGATCCTCATTTGCATGACTTTTGCTGAGATCTTTTGAAATATTTTGGGAAACCTTTCTGTCACTTATCCAAATTTACCCTTGTATATGGATGGATTGACTGAAAGTTATGTCAGTGTTTGAATTCTATTTCTGATTAAAAACTTGAGGTACATACATTGTTATTGAAAGAAAAGGGCTTTCCTGTAAAGGGTTTGGGAGGTATTGAATGAAGGTTCAAGTTTTTTTCGTGGTTTGGATTCTAGCTGAAAATGAATGTGTATGTAGTCTGAACTAAACAGAATTTATTATCCCTATGGTGAAACATAACCAGTGTCATATATATATCATGTGTGCACATATCACTTTTGCCCAGCTACCATTGTTTCTGTATTTCGTCGTCTGTGACCTCATAAAACAATTGAATGTGACATCAATGAACAGAGCAGTCACACATGCTTACCGTGTTTTACTCCACTAATGTACATGAATAAAATGGATACTAAAGAAATTATTACACTCAAAACTGTGCTACACGAATACTTATACGAAACTCATGTAAAATTGTGCACAAAGTTTCACACTCGTTTCGTATAAGTGGTAGGACACACTTGTTCGTGTAATAATTTATATGTGTGAACACTTTCCTTCAGACATGTTTCAATGTGATGTTTGATACAAGGACATGTATGAAGTGTGTAAGAAATTGACTAAAGGTGACAACCCTTTGCTTCAGATCTATGTAAAAAAGAAAACGCCTGTCATGATATCACATGAACTAATCATCTGCTTTGTAGCTCTTGGTAGATGTATTTCAGAGAGTTGGGCTATTTAAAAAAGTATGGAATGCAGCATTTAAATATTTTGCTTGTTTTTAACACTGCACTATTCCCCTGCACAGAGCCAGTAGATGTAGCTCCTGTACGTCGACAGTCTCGGAGGAAGGAGAGGATGCGGCCGGCCGGTGTCCCCTCCACATTACATGAGCAGATGGCTCAGACCTACACCAAGCCAGTCCTCAACTTGCCTCCAGGTACGTGCTGCCAACTGTCATGGTTACACCAACTAGGTGGTAATGATTATAATTCAGTTTCCCTGACTCAGTGAAATCATCACTGCTTGATGGCTGGAGTTGGCCAATAAATGCTGTGTCAGTCACTAATTTTCTGGTCTGACTCCATTATCTGAGGGCCATTCACACAGAATATTGTTGACAATAGTTATCAGTTCATAACTGATAGTTATCAGATCATTTCTTGATCTGTTACTACTTCAAAAAGTTCTTGTTTGTTTGACAGACTCCGAACCCGCAGAAGACAATGATGACAATGTGTCTCTCTCACTGTCTGTCCGCTCAATCGCGTCCAGCTGCTCATTGGTGTCGGACATCTACGAGCGATCCAAGAATCGAAGGGACAACTTCTGGAGGAAGGGAGATATTGCTACCAGATGAATACCTGTGTAGTTAGATGTTGACTGACTGCTGTGCTTGATGTGTTTCTACCATCAACAGTTCCTCTGTATCTGGATCTGATGGTGGGTTATGTGCTGTGATCATGGTATATCAGTTCTAGTGGCAGTTCCAGTGAACGATGCTGTACTCTATTACTCTACAGTTGTTACTAGATCTTGTTTACTGAAACAAATTTTATGGTTTGTTGTTTTGTTTTCGACTCTACAAATCATGCTGAATCTGTTTTCAAGTTACAGAGCAAGCATGATGCTATGTTCTACCACAGTGACATCATCGACTTTTAGTCAAGAAACATCTTGATGCAAACCTAATGTTCTTTCTGAGAGACATGACCTGGCCTGACCTTACCTGGCATTACAGGTACCCTCCTGTGGGTAACCATTCTACAAGATCATTTCAGGATGAAATGCCATATGCTTAGGGTTATTTTAGCATATTCTACATGTTACAATGATATACTGTTATCTTGCTTTGTTTATTGAAATCAAATTTTTCAGTTAGTTTTTGTTTAAGTTGTTGCAAAGAACTACGTTATTTTAATTCTCATTTTACTGCAGCCGTTTTATTGTAGGATTATATGATGCAAATGCAAAATCAAAATGAATTCAACTCTTTTATGGTTTAGATTATATGTATAGTTTATTTTATTTTGTGCATACTAGAGTAGATGCATTTCTTACTATGACCAAAGTACTTTGGGATACTTTTAAATAGTAAATCATTACTTATGGCGTCTTTTTTCTCCGAAAGTTGTCACTGTTGGCAGTGTCTTTAAAAAAGACACCTTTTATATTGTGATGTTCAACATAATGTTTGGCATTGTCCATATTGAAATGAATGTTGAACTACTTTGAGCTAGAAATATGCCAAGAATTGGAAAGAGCAAGCAAATATTCATTGGAGATGGTGTAGTGGGAGGTGTCATTCTAGCAGTTATCAATGAAGGAACTGTAGGTTTCTCTCCAGGGGGATCTATCTTGAATCACTGCTATATTCTTTTACATTTCATGAAAGTACACATAGAGATCAGGAAATGGCATATTTAATTTTTGTCATTTTTATTGAAAGTGCTTGTGATGTAGTACTGATAGTTTCACTCATTTCAAAACCCAGGAATTAACATTCAAGGAACAAAATCGAGATAGGTTCAAAATCCTCTAGTTTGTGTTATCTGCCCAAGTGGTGGCGTAGATACCTAGTTGGTCTATTTATTGTAATCATGACTCATCTCGCAAAGCTCACTGTGATACTGACAACATGTTTGTTACTAGCCTGCTGTTTCAGTCAGTGCTTGCACTAAAATGACATACTGAACATTTTTGTGTAAGCTATGTTAATATGCAATGTATTCGATATCTGAGTGAAATATTCTCTTTACATTAGCTGTAACTAATACATTCAAGTAGCGAGTGAACTCAATAAAACATGTATCATTACAAGTTTTGATTTCTTTGAAATTGTGGAATTTTTCCTCTTTATAGTAAGATAAGCTTGTGGAAACATCAGAGTATGTGTCTGGACTCTATGCCACAACAGATTCCAGTGGACGTAATGGCAAAACACCAGTCTACACAAATAGATCACTAAAAGTGTTGACACCAGGTGTTAGCATGAAATGAGTAAGCATGCCGTGCCCTACCAGCAGCACACATCAGACTGAAGTGTTTGCTTGTTGCCATGGCAATACACATCAGTAATCTTGCCAAACCAGCTTCTTCACGGTTAGTCAGTCTATTACCTCTGAACCTTACCGAAAATATAACTGCCAAGGAAATATACAGGAAATGCTTATATATATTTCTCTGAAGTATTCAGAAGTTGTTTATCAGATCATTCATCTGCTTTGAAATAAGGTTTCATTATTTAACCAACCATCAGAAATAGAATGTGTGCCTGGAAAATATATTTGCATGGTAAAGGCAAAGCACAACCACTTCCTTATTATCCTGTACTTGCTTGTATTTGACTTAATATACCGAAATATGGCATTTGATAAAAGTACATACCGGTATGCCCTGGATACACACTGAACAGCTGTCACGAGAGCAGAGTATGTTCCTCCACATGGTCCTGTGTACGGTGTTGCATGCTATGATGCAGAGAAAGCAAGTGCAGGGTTGTCAAAATGACCACCATAGCTATTGCCATTAAACATGTACAATTGTCAATGGATTTCGATTGGACTATGTTATTCCTTGAAGGGGCGATTGTTTCGCACGAAAGTTATATCAAGATAGTTTTATAGTGTATTTGTGAAAACGTCGGTGTAGCCATCATTTATTGACAACACAACTATGGCCAAAGTAGCCGTTGCCTCGTATGCTGTCATCAAAACCACACCAGGGAGATACTGGCTTATCTGTGCATGAGTCGTGTCCATAACGGATGGTGTTAACGTTATATTTAATAATAGCATATTTGTAACGCGCATATATCCATGCTTATGCATGCTGAAAATACACAAATAAAAATGCAAGTAAGGCAAAGAGCTACAGTTCAAAGGCTATCTTGAACATGTGTGTTTTTAGATTGGATTTAAAAGTATGAAAGTCACAACAGTATCTAAGACTCTGTGGGAGACTGTTCCAGGCCATTGATCCTGCATGGACAAAGGACCTGTTTCCATACTGTACTGTCTTTACTTTGGGAACAACATGCAAGTTCTTATCCTGTGAGCGAAGAGATCGTGAAGGCGTGTACACGGTTAGAAGATTGGATAGATAGGAAGGCACAGTTCCAGTGAGACAGCAGAAAACAAGGCAAAAGAGTTTAAACATAATTTGGAACTCGACTGGAAGCCAGTGGAGACTGTACAGTATAGGAGTAATGTGTTCATATTTTCCAGAGCGAGTCACGATGCGGGCGGCGACGTTCTGCACTCTCTGTAGCTTGGCTTATGTGGGTCTTTGATGCACCGGCCAGTAAACAGTTACAATAATCAAGCTTACTCATTACAAGTGACAATACAAGAGTCTTGGCAGATTCAACTGTAAGACATTGGCGAATGTGTCCAATGTTGCGGAGTGACATGAAACAGGTTTTGACAAGATGAGAATCGAGTGACAAGATTGAATCTAAGAACACGCCCAGGCCTTTGACTTTGAAGTTGATACAAGCGAATTGTCAAATTCCAGTGAGTTGATTCCACACTTGGACCAAGGAGAATGCACTCTGTCTTGTTGCTGTTGAGCTTAAGTTTGTTGGGGGTCATCACAGCAGTGACTCATGTCTGTTTGTGCGCTACATGACTGTTCATGGTCTGCAGGAAAACACTTATATAGCTGTGCGTCATCTGCGTATTGATGACGATCTAAGTTGTGTTCGGCAATCACACTTCCAAACTTCTTAACATACAATGTGAAGGGGACCGGCCCTAGGACCGATCCCTGTGGTACACCATGTTTGAGATGGACTGGAGCAGAGTGATGTCCATCTATGAGCAGTCTGGCGGCGGGAGGTTAGGTAGGACTTTAACCAACAGAGAGCGGTGTCATCAATGTGAAAATCTCACCTGAGACGATGAATGAGCATGTCGTGATCAATTTTATCGAGAGCCGAACTTAAATCGAGGAGTGTTAAGATACCAATATTGATGTTGTCCAAACCAAGTCGTAGATCATTTAGGACTTTAACAAGAGTAGTCTCAGTGGAGTGGTGAGCACGATAGGCTGACTGAAGATGGTCATACAAGTCATGTTGCTGGAGATGTTCTGACATCCTCACATTCACTGCTCGCTCAATGAGTTTTGAAACATACGAGAGGTTGGATACAGGTCTGTAATTGCCAAGTACGTTGCAGTCAAGGTTTGGCTTCTTCAAAAGAGGTTTCACTAGGGCAGATTTGAAAACAGCGTGTTCAAGTGAGTACTGGGAGAAGAACATTAAGATGGTCTAAAAGTACAGATGTAGGCAAAAGGTAAAGAGCGCAAGATGTGGGGATCGATCTCCTGATCAACGTACGTACTTCAGCCTCCCTGAAAGTTCTGAAATGTGTGAGAGTCTGTTCGTCATTGTCACTGGAATCTCGACAGTTTAGGGACACTCTGGAAACTCCAGGATCTTGTCTGTTACTAGATCCCACCATTGAATCATGGATTTTGGCTATTTTATTTGTGAAAAAATTCTGGATGACGTCTGGCAGCTTATCAGGAGGATTGGACAAGATGGGAGGTCGGGATGAGTCTTTACCAAGAAGGCGGGGCATAAGCTGATGGACTGACCGAGGATCGGACATTGATTCCTGGATTCTGCTGTTCAGGGATGCTTGTTTGGCACGCCGTATCTCCAAGGTGACCTTGTTCCTGGCAACACAGTAAATCTGCCTGTGTACTTCCAGGAGAGAAGATCTCCAGCTCAGCTCGACGTCTACTGCGTTTAGCCTCTAATACACGTGACGTCATAGTCCATGGTGTCACAGGCCTGTCCGTTACTCGCCTGTTTTTCAGAGGCGCATGTTTGTCCAATACACCCAGAAGTGTGGAGTTAAACAGTTCTGACATATCATTTAAATCCGAGGGAGGACATTGCACAAGAATGCTATTTGATAAGTCAACACTGAATGCAGTTTTATCAATAGCCTTTATCTTCCGACACTGCTTGACTTTCTTCGGGTGCGGGGGCTTATCGACATCCAGAGAGAAAATGATCAGATAATGGTCTGATATTTGAAGGTCGGTCACACTAAGGTCACAAACACAGCATGTATCCTTCATCGTTACAACCAAGTCTAGGGTATGTCCACTCTTGTGGAACTAACTAGACACAGTACATGGACTCGAGAAGACATTTCATGTTATCACACTGAGTACTTTATTTGCTATTAAAATCAACATTAAAATCTCCAAGCATGATCAATCGGGAACGTGTTGTGCATTTCGATTCAATGAATGTTGGTACTTCTTCATAAAAGTGTTTGAAAGAAAGTTTGTTACGCGTTGTTGTATATTTCATCGGACTGTAACATTAATATAAGACATGCAAGACGTTGACGACAGCAGTCGTATAAGCACTGCCCGTATCGTTTAGGTTTAAATGACCTCTATGGTCAAATGCACTGGCTTATTCAGAAGTAGAAATACGATGGTGGCTTATAGATACGTGAAGTGCAACAGACTGAAAATACACAAGATATAATTTTGCATACTATGTACAAAACAGTTCCCAAGTAATTTATGAAGCAAATTATAGAACTTTCATCAAGTGATTAGTATAATGATTGTTTGCTTCTTTGTAGAATTTCATATATTGTTTAGGTTCCTCTGGTTCATACTGTTTTCACATCGTTATTTTCGATTCATAACCCAGTGAACAGTAAAAAGAACAGTGGCAATCCTCCGATATACAGATACGTGAACGAAACATCTTTCTCCGTGGGGATCCAGGGCCCCGTTTCACAAAGCTATCGTAGCGCTATGACTGTTGTTAGTGTATGTTACAGTAGAGACCATATAATAGATATATGGTCTCCGGTTACAGTATAGGAGGTACGACAGTCGTACGCCACGATAGCTTTGTGAAACGGGGTCCAGGTACTGGGCCTGTTCTCAAACTGAACGGATGAGGTTGTCAGACTTAGTGGCCTTATTGATTCCGTGGTATTGTGCCAAAAACGGCAGCACACTTATTACAAGTACGTGGGCGAGTTGACGATGTGTCTGCCCGGAAGGTCATTTGTTCGATCCCCCGCAGCGTTAAGACGTTACCTTGCACAACTCTCAGTGGGAGAGGAGTCAGCAGCTAGTGTGTGTCTCAGAGCGGAGTATTCAAGCACTATAAATTAAGTGTTATGACCTCGAGCACGAAGGGTAAACACCTCACATTTCAATCTAGCACCTGAAGCAAGATAAAAGAAAATATTGTTCTGCCTGAAGAAAGTAAAAGTGTTCTGTGTGATCATGGAGCAGGTCCTCACCAAGATCCCAAAATAATGAAGGTGTTGACTGTAGCTGTTGGTGGAGAAGCATGACAGGAACTGTTAGAGTTCGAAGTTATTATTTGGCACGTTTCATAGCATGAAGCATATCAACCCGACACGGGTTAGAACCGATCTTCAGCAACCCATGCTTGTCGAGAACGGCGACCAACAGGATCGGGGGGTCATGCTTGCTGTCTTGGTTGATGCTTGTCATCGTATCCAAACACTTGTAATCTCAAAGCTGGACTATTGCAACTCACTCTTTTGCAACACGGCATCTTCAACACTTTCTAAATTGCAGAAAATTCAAAACGCAGCAGCTCGTGTGGTCTCTCGAACCCATCGCCATGACCATATATCGCCAGTTCTGAAATCCCTTCACTGGCTTCCAGTAAAGTATAGGATCTACTTCAAGATTCTGCTACTGACTCATAACAGCCTCTACGATAACCAGTCCTGTGACTACCTTCGCCAGCTTGTACAACTGCATGTACCCACCAGAGCTCTTAGATCAATGGATAC